TTATAGCCTTTGTTAGCACACAGACATGCAGAGAGGAATAAAATATTGTGAGTATTATTCCTTTGGCAGATGGCCAGTGTACAAGCAGAGACAGAGAGACAGATGATAAATCAACAAAATAGCTCTTCATCTTTAATGAAAGAGAGGTCTCCTCTACAAAGAGTTACCACACTGCAATGAAAGCGATCAGTTCTATATTTTGTGTGGTTTGTGTTCAGAATTATTTAGATTATTTCAAGGTTTTGGACACTTTGAGAGTTGTGAAGCAAAGAGGCAGATCAGTATTATTCCTCCATTACCCAAGATCAATGTCATCATTTAATTAACACTTAAGCAAAATATGAGATCAGAACTCAGTATTCAAGAGAAAGTATTAATTGATTTATTAGTTTTAATCACAGAATATTTTATTTGGGGTGAGAATAACATGTTCCGGATGATGGAGGAAAAGGAAAGGCTATACAGAGGAAACAAACAAAGAAGCAACAATATTCCTCAGACTTACATGATAATAATGTTCTATCCCTCTAACCCTGACAGCTCATATGTTCCCAGCCAAGAATGCGCGAATAGATGTTCAGAAAAATAAGACATTTTCTTCTTTAATTTAATATAGGGGCACCCTGTTAGCTAGAGCTGGCGCCGCATGTAACAAGGCTGAGTCCTTGCTGCAGCAGCCATTGGTTGACTCTGACCTGTGGCCTTTAACTTTCTGATTACATTGATGTCACATTGAGTGAAGGGATTTAAAATCATTATCTCACAGCTAATGGTTTGACGGATGAGTGAAACTATTTCTGGCACAGATGCCCACACAGGTCTTCTTTACATATTTCAGTTATCAGTTAAACATCAAGTAACGGCAAGTAAAAGATAAATATGACTGACTAAACCTTGTTCTCTTGTTTCAGGTACATGGCCATCATCCACCCTCTGAAGCCCCGCCTCTCCTCCACCTCTACGAAGGTTGTCATCGCCCTGATTTGGATAGTAGCCATCTTACTGGCTTTCCCTCAGTGCTACTACAGTGTGACAAGATTTTACTACCCCAGAACCGTGTGCATGGTCAACTGGCCTGATGATTATGGAGGAACTCATCAACTAAGGTGAGAGAACAAGATTAATATAAAAAAAACACTGAATACTGACAGTGACATTTGACACAATAAGGCAGATATATATATAATACAATACTATTTACTACTGACTTAGACACCTGTAATTGCAGGCTTGATTACTTTTTTTATAAAGGGTTATGATTATCTCCCATTTTACAAGCTAAAGTGTCTTTACTTTGAAATGTTGCAAATGGGGCTGGTTTAAAAGTAAAGCAAGCTATGTTGTATGTCAAGTACTCACAACCATTAAACATTTTCCATTAATCATTCATGTTAGTAAACCCTTATACTGTTAAGCACTATCAAATTATCACCATATGAGTTACCAGTTTACTCTTTCTCCTGCAGTTACCAGTTTGCACTGATATTGCTGATCTACTTGCTCCCTCTGCTGGTGATGCTGGTGACCTACAGTTTAGTTGGCCGATCACTGTGGGGCGGGCACATCCCTGGAGAGGCGACAGACCATTACCACAGCCAGATAACAGCCAAGAGAAAGGTCACACATGTTTATTTTTCTACTGTCAGAAACTATAAGTCTGCCTCATCTTTCACCCTCACTGTTAAAAAAGGCTCAGATAACCTGGGCTAAATATAGCTGAAATTTGAACTGAACTCAGTGGTATTAGACTGGAATTTAAAACATGGTAATATTGACTTATTTTTCCTCTCTCTGTTATTCCTCATAGGTGGTGAAGATGATGGTTGTCGTGGTGGTGACCTTTGCCCTGTGCTGGTTGCCCTACCACATCTACTTCATACTGGGATCATTTAACAGGGACATTTATAAACAACATTACATTCAACAGGTTAGCAGCTGTTTTTCAGGCTGTTATTAATCAATTTTAGTCAAACGTATTCATTTATTGGGCATCATGTTTCCTTTCTTTGTCAGGTGTATCTGGCCATCTTCTGGTTGGCGATGAGCTCCACCATGTACAACCCCATCATTTACTGCTGTCTAAACCAAAGGTAAAAGGCATATTCACACCCAGAAACTTCACTATCCCAAAACTTGAGGCAAAAAACCAATTCTCCCCTCTTTCTGCAGGTTTCGTGCTGGTTTCCGTCATGCGTTTGCTTGGTGTCCTTTCATCAAAGTGTCGGAGGAGGACAGGATGGAACTGCAGCACACACACACCTTCAGAGTCACCATGACACGCAGCCACCGCAATGACAGTACATACGCGCACACGTCCATCAAGACAAACAACGCCTTCGACACAAACGTGGCTGTCAGCACTGAGCTAAACACAGAGAGAGATGTCTGCATGCAACTTAGAAAACAGACATCATCAAAAACATACAGCACACACAACACACATGTGGGGAAGAGGCTGGACGATGCAAAATCCTCAGCTGCCAAACTTATGCAGCACACACACTGACAACTGAGATCATCACGAGGACATTCTTGATGGGAAGGCAACAGTGTTTCTCTTTAGTGAACAAACTACGGAGCAAACTGTGGTGATCTGCCTCCATGTGGAAAACCTTGAAGAGGCATATGAATGAATGTGACTATCAAGCTGATGGATGTTTTGCTGTTAATGCCAAAGTGGTCATATGAGTATCTGAAAACAGTTATAAATGGAAGAAACTACACCTGCATACTGAACAGCAGGAGAGGCTTATTATTCTTGTAAGTGTTTGTGTTTGTGGCAAAGTCTGAAGATAAATCTGTCCATCATTCATTTCTTCTACTTCCTCCTCCCTCCATTCTCTACATCCTTTCTTCCATCGCTGACACTTTTTTGTCCTTCTCCTTTGGAAATAATCGGTGAACTGTGGATATTTGTGTGTAACTGTAGAGTTTTCTTCTGTGGTGACTGGTTTTCAAGAGCATACAACGGATGAACAGTCCACTGGCATCAGCACCAAGCCTTAATATTGTTGTTTTTGTATGTTTCCTTTCTTACTGTCCCATACATTGGACTTTTTTTAAAGGGCTTAAATTGGACATTTGCTATTTCACTTCCTGACCAGGTGCAGGTTATCACATAGTTGGTCTGGGATTGGCAATATAATAAAAGACTTTTAAAAAAGGCGGCATCTCTGCAATTAAGCAGATCAGTTCATGTAGTTCTGTCTGAGAAGCTCTGTGGTATAAAATCAGCAGTTAAAGGTCCAGTGTATAACGTTTCGGAGGATCTATTGGCAGGAATGGAATATGATAGAGATGGTTTAATTTGTTTAAATCACCTGAAAATAAGAATCATTGTGTTTTCTTTACCTTATAGCTGATGCAGCTCAAGCATCTCATGCAAGATGTTTTTGTGTAATGATAAGTTAAATTCCAACTTGCAGCACATATTTAACAGACACAGAAATTACTATTTCTACTATAACACAGGATGCAACATGATTGTGTAACTTTATGTGGAGCACCAGTGGTCAGTATGGACTGACTGGAGTAAGGAGAGTATACTAAACATTTTCTGAACATAACTGATTATTAAACATTTTAAAAGAAAAAAACAGCCTTTACTCGACCTTATTTCACAAAATTGGCTGGATCTGCCTCATTATTAGTTATATGGTTAGTATATTGTTACTGTACGGTACTATTGCTTTCACATATTGGTCACATAATGTACAGTCATAAAGTATGACTGATCATATATTATGATTTCACTGGTTCATTTAACTAATCTTTTTATGGTCAATGTATAGTATAGTCCAGATTTAAAAAATCAAAGTGCTGCTAGAGAAATTTGGTGTGAAATGTAACATTGTAATCTATTAGAGTATATTAAAATATGCTTATTACGTGGTAATGTAAATATGGGTAAATACACATACAGTTGGGACATGATGTTGTAAATGCTGTAGCCTGTTAGTGTTGACATTTTAGTATATAGGGAAAACCCTTTTCATTCTTTGTAACGGTTTGACGTTTAAAAACACACAGTAACATGTTGAAACATCTGTGGCCTAATTAGAAGTTGATAATATGTTAAATAAATGTGACAGTATATGTATGTGTTTGCAGTGGTCCTTCAGCTGTGCTCTCGACAACCTATTTGGTTTCAGTCTTTATTCTGAGGGTGAGTGTGGCTATATATGCAACCTTCCTACAGTTTATCGAGCAGCTACATTTTTCCGGTCCTTGACACCCTGTTAAGGGACCAAAAACCCCCGTATTCACACACCTCAGGGCTGTTATAGCGTTCTTGAGGAGCAGGAAGTTCAGGAACTTTTTCAGAGCTTGGGTTGGGTAGACTTGGTAGAGAGGGGCTGCTGAACCAGTACCCAGCAGAAAATGACAGCCGTATGAAGGTCAGTTCAGCATTTTTTGAGGAGAAACAAGGTTTGATAGCAACAGTCATTTAAGGCAATTAAGCAAGTTAGAGTACAATACAGAGCACCTAAGCTGATGATTTCAATAGTTCTTTTTGATTAGATTAGAACAACACAGCCTTCCCTTCCCACATGAAATCCACAACACCCTATAGATGATTTTGGCTTTAGATTATAGGAATCTCAAACAAATACATGTTGAACAATAATTTACTTACCTCATTCTGCGGCAATTAAGTGGGTCAATTCTATACGGAGTTAAAGTAGATTGTGACCTGTCCCCAAGAGACTGCACAGATTCAAAATGGTCAGCAATGATGTTAGACAAAAAACAAATTAGTCAAACAAAACCTATTTGACACCTGCTGAATAACCTTTCCCAACCGGACCTCCTTTGTAAAGTCTTAATGAGCTAAGTGGTGCTTTTAAACAATTCTCAATGCTGTGGGAATTGATTGCTCAGTGTCAGTAGTACATGTCTACCATCAGCCATGGTAGATGATTGATCTATGAATACACTTACAACACCACTAAACAGAATTTACACATACATGAGTGTAAAAAAAAAACTGCAACATCAGATTGACACAGATTAGTCTTTATTTCTTGACTGATTGATTGACAGTGTTGGACAGATACAGTCTGGGTTTTGTGAACAGAGGAAAAGAGATTAAAGTGCCTGTGTGATGTGGAGCTGGCTTTCAGGCTGACTACTCTGGGGAAAGTCTAAAGTCAGGGTACCTTAGGACCCACTGAAGAGGCTGACCTCTTTATCTTGGCAGTTTAGCTTCAGGTTGGGTTTGTGCTAATCTGTCCCCACAGGTCAGGATTTTAATTGTGGTTAACAAAGATGGCAGTGAACTGTACTGTAGCATTTCAAAGATGCATCCTTGCACAACAAGTGCCAAGTGACCCTAAATTTAAAAACATTTGTCTTTTTGTAGTCTAGGATTAAAAACCAAAAACAGCATCTAAAATGAAAAACTGCCAGTGAACAAATCCATCTTCTTTCAGTGAGAATTATTAACAACAATAATATGATTATTTGATTTTATTAAAGAAAAAAATAAATATTTATGACTTTGCATGAATTGTGTTACTTGAATGAGTCATACAGTAGTTCACTTAAGCACCCCCCTAGGCCTTTAGGAGCATATGGAGTACAGTGAGTGAGTAGGGATAAGCTTTATTCTCAAAATGTTTAAATTCCCCTTCAAGTTTCAGCTACTGTAATATTCTTATACACAGTTTGGCCATTATTGTTCCACTGGCATCCATGTTAGCACCACATTCCTGTTTCAAGGCTGTTGCTCAGTAACTGGCAAGTGTCGTTGTGATGATGAGAGTAACCAGCACTTCTTAAGACAATAACAACTTATCAACAGCTGCTATTAGTACCAACAACAGGATTTCTACTTAGTAAAATACAAGTGCTCTTTGTACATATTTTACAGTAGAGTACATTGTAGTACAGTCGGATTGCTATAAATTAGACCAAATCTGCACATTCAGCAAGCATATGGCATGGCCTTCCCTGCAGATAAAGCTTGTTTGAGTCCCTCTTTTGTCACGTCTCAGCACTGATTTGGTTTAAACCCTGATATCAGCTGAGGGGACTTTGGTGATGGCTTCCTTTGTGTGCCTTGTTATATTGCAACAGTAACATTTTTAAACATCTCCCAATATAAAAATAAAATAAATAGCAACAATGTATGAATAACATATTGTATTATATCTGGGTAAGATATTAAAAACCTTAAAGCAAAAATATTCCCTTTCATCTCATTAGACATTTATATATCACTTCACATCCCTTTTATGTCAGTCAGTAGCCTACAGCGGACACAATTTGGTGACTTTGGTCTGAAACAGTGTTTAAGATGTCCCTGCATCTACTGAACATGTTGCAAGGATAAATGTTTTTCTGCAGTGCTTATGGAAATTGCCTTGCAACTGTTGCACTTGGTATATTGTAACAGACTGCAGTTATCAGACGAATCCTCTAGATGGCGATGATATGCAGCTCACGGGAGCATTACAGGAGCGTGTGGACCCTGCACATTTTTACAGGAGTTGAATGTGCACGTTTTATCTCAGTAATCACAAAACTGCAAAACCCTTAAGAGTCTGGGTGTTGTTACAATGGTTAATCAAACATAATCTAACTACAACATAGTGCCGGAAGATCTGCTACTCAACACAGCAGAGACAGCTATCGCCTTCTCACTTTCAGTCATGTACACAGGCTAAAGCAGCTACAGGAGAATGTTGACTTGACTGGTTTGATTGAGGAAAGAAGGCAAGGGGGAAGAACAGTGGGAGGGAGATAGGGGCAACCTTATGGAGTGGGGTGATAACAGTAAGACAGAAGAGATATTTTCTATTTATTGTTCAGCTCCTGTCTCAGCCGGCAGCCCACGGCTGTGATGAGTGCTGCTCCTTTCCCACTGCCGTCCTCTGACAGCAGGAAGTTGACATTACACTTAGGAGCCAGTTCATTTACTGTCTGGTGCATGATCCCAGAGAAACTAGACAGAGACAAAAGATTTGACATAATGTTTAAGAGTGAAGTGGTGAACATTGGAGCAAATAGAAAAACTGAGCCAGCTTAAATGCAACTTTGAGCTGATGGGGATTTGCCTCTAAAAACTACAGTGAGTCAGATAGACGTACATGTTTAACAACCACCAAACCAGTAAGAGCTGTCTGAATAAGGGACAGGTTCTTCAGGTTATGTTAGCTTAGCATGAAAGGGATTGCTGGTGATGGTAAAAAAAGGATAGAATTTGGCAATTTGTCTGTGACGTTATAAACATGATAAGAAAAAGGAGTTGGATTTCTCTTTTACTGCGCAACTGTCAGCACATTCTGTACTTTATCAGCCCCTAACTAAAGCATGACTCAACATGATCTGCATGCAATAATACATTAGACATGTACTCTATATGCCATAAATCAACCCCATGAACCTGTTTGGCTCAAAGTTAATGAAATTAACAAGACATTGTTGGTTTGATTATTTAAGACTTAGTGGATCATCAGCATCTGAACATTTATTTATTGTAACATTAATTGACAGAACACATGACTACTGTCAAAAAATTTAGTGATATTCTGCCAAATGTGTTCAGAGGCTCAACATCAACAACAGTTTAGTTGTAATTATTATGAGATTGCTGAGAATGATAAATTAAAAAAAAAAAAGGTAGCTTGTTGTTTGTTGAGCTACAATGGCCTGAAGCTCTTCACGTCACTGCTGTCCACATCTGCTCAAGCCTGTCTTTGTGTGCATTTGCAAGTCTTCTGCAGAGCAGTTTAGGATGACATTTACCAAATAGAGTTGTCATGTAACTAAGGTAAATGTGTCATTGGATGTACTAGACCGTAGTCCAGTCTAGTCAATTCACTATATTATAGAGTGGCCTAGTCACCATATGTACCATTGTTTTTAGGCACTTCAGCGGACAGTGAAAAGTTGTGTACGGTCAGTTACTGACAAATTCAACTTACTGTGGATGTAGTTTGTAGAGAGTCCCGTCCACCCCTACAGTAATGTTCAGATGGTCCAGTCCTCGGTTCTCTCTGATCTTATCGACCACGGCCGCCATTCCTGCCCCACACATCTGAGCTGCACGATGTGACACCGCTCCACATACCTGTATCACAATGAACGCCATTATCATTATTGCAACACTTAACAGGCTGTTGGTGCCACAGTTTGCTGAGCCAGAAAATATCATATCGCTACACAAACAGTGAAAATAAATATGACTCGCTTTTGTAAAGTCACATATGCCTGCCATTTCACAAGACAAGCACGATAATGTATTGAGAGGCTCAGACTGTATTGCATTACACAGACAGGTGTTTCTGCTATTTACCCTACCCTCTTTGATTTAAATAGAGTAGACAAAATAATAGAAACACCTGTCCATACAACTCTATATATTTCAACAAAAGCTGAACATGATAACCTTCACAAAAGTAGGATTTATTTCAGGACTTTTGTATTAGACTGCAATTGTTTTATCTAGATGGACACAATAAACATTCTCTCCCAACGCCATCTGAGGTGCGGTAAGGGTCAAGAGTTTGTGTTGATAACTGCCCTGGATGTATTATGAAGGGTTGAGCATTAATCTGGATTAAGAACTAAACAAGCCTGTGTGCTAATGTTTCGATTCAGTTCAAATTTGAAAAACATATTTTCACACAAGGCTTTGCACACACATATGTATCTGTTTATAGCTTACCTCTTTGACTATGATACTGTCATCACAGGTGCTGTCCAGCCCCAAGTGTTGCAGGATGGATCTCACCTGCAGCAAAGCCAATCTGTCACTGGAGAAAGACAAGGAGCTGAAAACTGAGCCATTTGCAGAAGGGATATAAATTCAACCAAAATCCCAAATACAGTTTTAAGGGATAAGAACATCAGTAACCTAACAGTAAAATAAGGAAAGCTCATTTATTGCAGATGGTGCTCTACAAGGGTTGCTAATAGAGTGCAATCTTTTTTACCTCTCGATCTGTGAGAGGAACTTCGTTTCAAAGATGCCTCTGGTCTTCAGTGTTTCAGAAATCTGTCCCCTGAACAGGAATCCTCTCTTGGTCATATCGATCAGAATGTTCCGCACAATTTCACCAAGATACATGCCACTGCACATTTTCTCATATCTGTGAAACACATGCCAACACAAAACATATACATAAATAGACATATCCATACATCCACACATATAAGGATACGAGTTCGGGAAATTAAGGGTTAATATGCCAGCAGGTGTTTCTGACTTGAAGAACGTAGACATATGTGTGTGTGTGTGTGTGAGTGAGAGTGAGAGAGAGAGAAGGGGACTTTAACCTTTGTTTGCCTGGATTAAGGGAGAAGTCATCCACAGCGCGGTCGTACTCTGTCCTAATGTCATCAAGGCATCCGTTGTCTCCGAAAGCCCCCCACTCCATGTTGACACACATCCGTCCCTCGTCTCCCTCTATCATCTCAACGTTCCTCATCTCCTCCATGTAACATGCATTGCTTCCAGTGCCTACAATCAGACAGACACATTAGATGAATAGAGAACATAATTTGAATATGTATCAAAAAGACGCAATAAAAGTGTAACTAACCGGCGATGAGTCCAATCTCACAGGTGGGTTCTTCATAGGCACAGGTCATCATGGTTCCCACTGTATCGTTCACTACGGCCACTACATCCAGGTCAAATTCCTAAAGAGGAAACACATAATATGATGCAACATCACAGTATGAAGTTTTGCAAACAGTGCCATGTAAACTGAATGACGTTGCTCCTCATATCCTACCTCTCTCCTCTTAATGGCATCCCTCAACAGTCCCACCACATCCTCTCCTTCACAGTCTGTCGCCTTGAAGCCCTTGGTCCATGTCACAAGGATGCCCTGCACACATGCAGACACACAATTATAGACTGACATATCTTGAATGGAATGTGAGCATGATTTTGTCTGCTCGGGGCACCGAAAAGTCTATTTTTGGTCTAATTAAACAGTGTTGTCAAGCTAAAATCCTGCTTCTACAAAAATTGCTGACTTGGGTTTTTCTCTTGACACTGGATACATGTGGACCCATTTTGCAGAATCAGCAGGTTCAGTTTCAAACGCTGCTGATTTAAGAAGTAAGAGACAGAACAGCTGATCCGAAAGGAAGGAAGAGTTCACACTCACAGCGTCCAGGCTGGTCTGTCGGCAGGGGAACGAGAAGGTGAAGCCCAGGGGAAGACGAGTGTTCTTCATCCCCATGTAGTCCAGGAAGTCACTGATACACTGCACGATGTGATCAAACAACTGGAAGAAAACAGATAAGACAATATGTGAAACTACAGTATACAATCAGGGATTCATTTTCTAGATTAGTATTCTGTCTGGCAGAATTAATAAAATAATTCTACCATTGAAAGTTAAGAAAATGCAATCCCTTTGGGCATCAAAAGGCACTGATGGACTCATATTGGACTCTATAGAACACATTTTTATTCCCTGTGTAATACAGTAGTGGGCACAATCTTGAGAAGAGGTCTAATTGGGCAAAATAAGTAAAAACAAAATAGTGCCATTTCCATTCTGACTCCCTTGTCCTATGTACATAAGGCAGATAAACAAATGGTGGAGTGAGAGTGAGGATGAAAAGGCCAAAGGTGACAGACAGGATTACCCTCAGCCGGTGCACAAGAGTTAAGCTCAAATGTTTTAAAGACTGTCAACTCAATGCTAATCTCGAGCACTCGACCGCTCTGTCTGCCTCTAACCTGTCGACTGTCTTCCTTGCTTCTACCCTATCTTCTTATCTCTGAGCCAATGAGCGTCACACCCCCAACTCCTACTTTATTCCCTAATCTTTACAGTACTGCCATGGTAACAGGAGGTTAAATTCTCACCCATCGTTCTGACATTTGCTTGAATGCACTGTCTGCTTCACTTCAGCCAGTTTCATACAGATTAAGGGCTAAAATGTCTGATGGTTCTCACCTCCTCTCCCGTGCCCTGCATCACTTCGAGAGGAATAGCATAGATCTTGTTATGCATCTCCACTGTTCTCCTCTTGCCAGAACGAATCTTGACCAACAGAACTCTGAAGTTGGTTCCACCTAAATCCAAAGCCAGGAAGTCACCATGCTCTGGATAACAAGACAGTCAGACAAACAGACAGAGAGATGAATAAAACAGTAATCAGGGTGCAGACACACACACTTCAGATAAAGACCTTATACAATGCAAAAAAAAAGAATAGCTGAGGATGTCAATGTGAAAATGCTTAGTTTACATGGATGTTCTCCACCTAAAATGTTACGGTTGTTGTTATTGTTGTCCGTGTTGTATATTTATTGAAAAAAGTGTCTGCATTGAATTATGAAAACTTTAAGCTCAGGTTTTAAATAGGACCAAAAGTGCCAACTTGAATGTGTATGTATATGCATGTGTTTGTGTCAGTGTCACCTGAGCCATCAGGAGTGCTTTGTACAAAGGTTGGCAGCATTTTCACCGTAGCAGTGTCCTGGGTGCTCTTTGAAAGGCCATTTTCAATCTCTATCCTCATTCGCTTCTTTACCTGGAGAAATTAAGAAATAAATTTGTTAATGAGTTAGTGAAGTAACACACAGACAAATCAAACACACACAGAAACACACACACACACAGAAACACACACACACACACACACACACACACACACACACTACAGTATCTCTCCGTCCTCACCTCCAGCAGCTGTTCGGTGGTCAGGCGGAATTCGGACAGTGTTTGGGCAATTTGTCGTGAGTGTTCGGCGAGTCGATAGGCCACGGCTGTCACCATGGCTGCTCCTTTTGCACTGCCACTCTCTGAGAGGAGGAACCTAACATCAGTGTCCGGCACCAAACGACGGACTGTCTTATGAAGACGGCGGGCATATCTGGGATAGATCAAAGAGAAATTAAGTGCTGAACTTAAAGTGAAAGTAGGATATAATAAGCCTCCAAATATCTGACAGCACTTCTCAATGATTTTTGTGGAAAAGTGAGGAACAACGAAACACACGGACATAACACACATAAAAGTTAATAAAACAAATTTAAGTGCTGATACAGCATGATTTTTATCAGATCTTATTACTTACTGTGGGTGCATCTTGTATAGAGATCCATCGATGCCTACAGTGGTTCGGAGTCGTGCCACGCCTTTGTTCTCCTTAAGCCTCAGGAGGATGCCTGCCAGTGCGGCAGCTATTAGGTTGGCAGAGCGGAAAGACACAATGGTACAAACCTGGAGGGGGTGGTGAGGAGAGAAATTTCATGAACTGCATAATAAGATAAACAAAGCACCTTTCATTTTTTGAAAACTCTTTTCAGATACTACATCAGATCCTGCTTTAAAACCTCATATCTCAGATATTTTAGGAAAATGAAAAAAAACAGATTATGTTAATGTATTTAAATAATCTAAATAATAATACCAATGGTATTTTTTATGGTTTTCATTTAGTTTTTTCCATATGCTTTGAATGGTCACTTCAATATACTTTGACCATGTATTGTTTGCCTAATTTAAGTGGAATCTTTGAAAAGAGGGATTCAAGTACTACTGTAAGCAACATTACACACATGCTGCACAGCAACGCAGTCGTCAGTGGACGGCTCCACACCAAGTCTGGTTAAAATCTCTCTGGTCTTGGATAACCCCTCCTTACTCCTAAACAGAGAAGACACAGACACTATGATGGACTAGATGTATAAGATTTAAAGTTTTGTGGATTTTTTCATGCAACTACTCAATTAGGAAACTACATGGAATTCAAGTGTAGTTCGACTTACTTCTCTATAGCTGAGATGTGTTTGGTCTCAATCTTTCCCTTTGTGAGAAGCTCAGGGGTGATCCTTCCCTCGAACAGCAGGCCCTCTCTGGCCATCTTCACCAGGATGAGACGAACCAGCTCCCCCATGTACATTCCACTGACCATCTTCTCAAATCTACCACACAGTAAAAAAGGGAAAGGGGAGGCGAGTAAAATAAACACCCAGAAACTTCTGGTTAAATATCCTAAGCTTTGGATAAATATCACTATACTATACTTGCTGCTTGCCTAATGGTGAGGCTAGAGACATGTGGGAAAAAACAAGGGCAGAGAACCAACAAAGAGAACTGGCTTTTTCTCTGCTAGTCATATTAACAGAGTGCAGGACTTCTGTGACATCTTGTGTAAACACCAAACATGCAGCGCAACTTCTGAAAGGACGGCATCATAAATCAACTGCATTCATCTAAAGATAAAAGAGCAGGCTTTGAGGTGCATCACAACTAATCTGCTTCCAGTAACTACTTAAAAAAATATTTTACTTTCATTTTGAAAGATGGTTTTAATACCCATTTGCAAAATCATGTTAATCTTCCTTTCTACCTAGAACCATGAACAACAGCTGGTTGTGTAACTGGCAGCTAATCATCAGCAGATTCTATGGTTCCCTCGCAGCTTAAAAAGTAGCTCATTAAGATTATCTCAAGGATGAAGGAGGCTATAAATGTTTTGGTTTGACATACAGCTGCTTGCCAGGGTTGATAGAGCCTCGGTCTATCTCTCTGTCAAACTCTGTCCTGATGTCTTCCAGCCTGCCGTCGTCTCCGAAGGCTCCCCACTCAGTGTTGACACACATCCTGCCCTCGTCTCCCTCCACCAGATCAATGTTACGCAGTTCCTCCATGTAGCACGCATTGGTACCTGTACCTAAACACAGACAAACACACATCCTTACAGTTTAATCTTATTGCTATCTTACTTATTAGATTTATCTAGTAATGAAACAAAATGATTCATTTATACAGGAATTTATACACTAATCAAAACATACTTATGAATATTATATTCTATTTCTGCCAATAAATCCTCCTAAATGTTACACACTGGACCTTTAACCTGACTACAAGTGTTTCCTTGCCCTTGATAAACAGATCAGTTTGTTACAGTTTATAATTATATTAGTGTCCTTTTATTCTGCTTGTAACAATGCTGAAACCACTCTTGAATTTCGCTGATTCCTCCACTATTGAAATGCACATTGTTGTATTACCAATGATAATGCCGACTTCACAGCGCTGGTCATCGAAACCGCAGGTCATCATCGTTCCCACAGTATCATTCACTACCGCCATGATGTCAGCATCATAGTCCTGAAACCAAAGCACACATGTAAATGAGTTTGTTTGACTGTGCCATTCTGAATCTACACTTGAGTTAAACCAGGTCCATTAAATAAATGTGGCATCAAATGAGCATAAATGAGACAAAAGACAAGACTCACTCCTCGTTTCTTAATAGCTTTGTTGAGCAGCTTGACAACGTCCATGCCTTCCACTCCACTGGCCTTGAAACGCTTTGTCCATGTTAGCAGATAGCCCTGCAAACACGCAGAAAGAGAGAGACAAAGGGAGGTGAGAAAGGGAGAACAGGGAAAAGGGAGGGATTTGATGCTTGATTGAGAGGTCTTTATTACAACTCATAATGAAAATAGACTGCATGGCAATCTTCAGATATTTCAATAAAAGCTACAATTTTAATTTTACCTCATCTAGTTTGGTCTGCTGGCAGGGGAAGGAGAAGGTAAAACCAACTGGTAGTTTCTTGTCTTTGATGTTCTGTTTTTCCATGAAGTCCCCAAGACACTCTGCCACATGGTCGAACAGCTGGAACAGAGGTGGAAGGAGGGAGAGATTGTCTCAGGTCGAGCTGAAGAGACTGCATGTGTGTGTGTGCCTGTATTTTACTATAAACCTACTCTTGTTCCACTGCCGTTAATGATGTCCTCTGGTGTGTCATAGATTTTACTCTCCATCTGAACGGTCTGTTTCTTCTCATGGCTCACTTTGACGCGGAGGATCCTGAAGTTACTGCCTCCCAAATCCAACGCAATGAAGTCTCCCTTCTCTGTGGAGGCAGAAAAGGTGGGAATACAGGAAGTGGAAAGAGGAAACAGAAGGGGGGGTGTCCATTAGGTACATAGCCATAGACCTATACTGTGACATTTTATTTTCTAGCATATTCATTTTCTTCATTAAACCAATGCTGAAAATCATAAATAAACTACCACAGCTCTGGACTGGGACTTCTACTCTACTCAACAGGAAGACATTAATTACCAGTACGTCTGTTAGCTTAGCAAACAAATACAGCTCTCACTAATACTCTTCAGAGAATTAACACCACACAGTGTGTTGTCTGTAAGCAACATGGGGAAGAAGTAGTGCATTGAAAGCTGTTTCAGAGTTTTTATCAGAAGTTATGTCTTCTGAGAAAACGTTGCCATATATCACCTCCTCCAAATACAATAAAGCAGTAAGTGAAACCAAGGGTTGCAGTGTATCAGTGTACTTTTATATGTACGCATTATGCGCTTCTTCATGTGTTTACGCTGGTGTGTATACTGTAGGTTTGTGTTTGCTTACATATTTTCTGCAAGATGAACTTCCTGTATAGTTATTGGTTAATGATTTCCCAACCCCACCAGAGGCGTTATGGTAGCCCTATCACCCATTCAGGCGCTTATCAGAAATGATTATTTGGAAGGAAATTGAAATGTCATTATACAGTTGAGAAAAAGATCAGTCAAGTGAGAGGTACACCAACACCATTATTTCCTTTCATGCACACCAACACTGGTGTTCAATTTATAAAAAGTATGTAAACATTGATCTTAATCCCAATCCTAACCTCTAAGAATAAACACACACTGGGTTAGTTGACTCTGTGTGTGCAGACAGTGGTTGGTGGTGTCTATGAAGTTGTGATTAAGAGTACTAGCTATTCTCACGGTTAAATCCTATGAAATTCTGGTATATATCTAAGTTCATGGTCCCTTTGGACTAAGTAGCGACAGTAGTTTATTTGTCTGTCTAAATTGGGAACATAATTAGTTTATAGCCTGCTTATCATAGCTCATTAGTAATAGGACTGACTAGCGTGAACTGACCTTTGATAAGAAGTGATAAGACAAGAAAGCAGGCAGATTCCCCTCAACTCATTGCACACATTCTCTCTAAGTGATCCAGTACAAACAAATAAAACTGTAACTTTTACCTCAGTTATAAAGTAGTAACAAAATGTCCTTCAGGTCAGAACGTTCTTGTCGCTGCAGCAGACAGAGTTTAGAGTAGAAAACCCATTGATCTGTGTATCAGCTACTTTACAAATAGTTAATCTTCAAAACTGTTGGCAATGATGATTGTAGACAATGGTTGAAAATACAGAAATGCCACATTATTTCAGATTCTAACACTGCTAAACATGCCAACTTCCCCATTTATAACAATCTGCACAAGATTATTATGATGTTGTGCAGCTCAGCAAGGTCGGATTAGTGGTGACTGGAAAGGAATGTAAATACAGCAGACATGACTTTAGGAGCAATAAAATAATGAGGAAACATAAAAGGTTTCTTTTGAATTCCAGTTTTCTAACTATTTTAAATAATGTTGGTCAGTGGGAACAAAGAAACCAGAGCCATGCAATAACAGTATCACGTTCGTTTCCATGGCTGTTCAGTGTTATCTGTGCACATCTGACAACATAGTAGATAATGAAACAAACTGGAGAAGCCTGCAGTAAGAAGATGGTGAGATATTACTTTCTTTAACACACCATTTATCAGGGGAACGAGACCACACATACTTCTGAGTAATGTGTTATCTTAACTTTAGGACTTTTCTAACAATGGCAGCAGGATTAGTGCTAATCTGTGATGTGTGTGTGCGTGTGCATGTGCGTGTGTGTGCGTGTGTGTGTGTGTGTGTGTGTGTGTGTGTGTGTGTATCTTAGTGAGTTACAGTGTTTACGTTTTAGACTACAGTAGGTTCAATATGTATTTCGCACCGACCTGTGTTTGCAGAGAGCTTTGATTCCGTTAATATTCAGCTGACTAAGGTAATAAAATCTGTCTCAGTCTAAGTGGACAGACACTCTCCTCCCAAAGTACAGCACGTACAAGATATGAACAAATTCTGACTCACATTCAAGGACAAAACAACTGCAGTAAATTAGGAACAGACAGCATGCGGCAGACAATGACATAATGACAAGGAGAGAGACAGGATGATGATATTTAAGTATAAGTCACTATACCAAGAGGAAACATAGTTTTTGCCTTCTGAGTTCAGGTTATTAATGCAAACAAGAGATCTGGGGTGAAAGGTACAGTACGGTACGATCAGCGAGGTTTTTTCCAGGTAATGTTCTCAAGGCAGATTAACAACTTAAATTATTAACATCAACAACTGTCACAAATGGCTCTACATACTGGACAGGACTCCCAAAGCACCAGAACTGTCTGTATATGACTTGCATATTCACCACCACCACGCCCAGCCTCTGAATGCTGGGAGGTCCAAGCCAGTATGAAAAATTCTCTCTCTCTCTGTCTCTCTCTGTCTGTCTCTCTCTGTCTGTCTCTCTCTGTCTGTCTCTCTCTGTCTGTCTCTCTCTGTCTGTCTCTCTCTGTCTGTCTCTCTCTATGAAAATATACTGTCCTGCTGACTACATGACTCAGTTTAATACTGCATACATTAAAATATTTTGACCTGAGTGGTTCCAAAACAGTCCTTCCTGTCTCTGTGGGCTCACTACCTTTATTATTGGGATAAAGCTGAGGTAGACTACATGCCGTGAAAGACCAGGAAAGAGAAGATGGACAAGTCAATTTAGTCATTTTAGTGGATCATTTTCTCCTTACGGGCTTCTCCAAATTTGGACTGGGGATCCACGGTGCCATGGTGACAACCTTTGCTTGATAAAGTATCCTTTAGCAAGAATAACAATTCTGTTGACACTCACTCATACAGTGATAAAATAGGAAAATTGATTTTGATGCTGATTTCATCATTGAAAGTGCTTGTAACCATGGTTGCAATAGGGTTTAGAGGTACTAACCTGAGCCATCAGGGATTGACCGCACAAATGTTGGCAGCATCTTCAGCGCAGCAGTGGGGTTGGTATCCCGTCCCAGTCCTTTGACCAGCTCTCTGCGAAACTGCTGCATGATGTCCAGTAACGTCTCATCAGAGAAACGCATGGAGTACAAGTACTTATCGATCTGAAAATAAATATCAGGAAAAAGAACATTAATGTTCTTAATATTAACCATTAATCATCAATCTTCAACCACAACAACACCATTAACATCCACACACATCCACACACACATCCACACACACACACATCCACACACACACACACACACACACACACACACACACACACACACACACACACACACACACACACACACACACACACACACACACACACACACACACACACACACACACACACACACACACACACACACACACACACACACACACACACACACACACACACACACACACACACGTCAAACATTCAGTCCATGATAGTAGATTTACTGCATTTGCTAATGACATAGCCTTCATTTTCTGTAAGCATGATGATGCAGTGAATAGAACGCCCCATCCCTCATTTAGTCACCCATGGAGATAATCCACTTCCTGAACAGACTGAAATAAAGCTAAATTGATCCCAGCACTGCTTAACCCAGAAATGAATCAGAGCCACAAAACAAAATAACTATCTTTATATTGCTTTACTGCAAAGGAACTGATAAGTCACCACATCATAGTGTGGTCATATTGAGTCAACGTCTAATAAAAAGCATAGTATCATCAGTAGGACACCCAACCAGACCAGGAAGTACAGGACACTCACTCAGCACTGTTATCAAGGCAGTATTGCACAGAAGGGTGTTCCTTGTCACTTTATTATGGTTATGACATTGATGAGACTCAGTAGGAGAGTCACTGACAAATAAATGTACTCTCTGGTCACCATTAGGGTGTATTACCATACAGTAATACCAAATCCACAGATAAAGCACATATAGCTGTGCCTTAAATCATTTATAAGCATGTCTGGGCATACTGTAGATCTTGACCTGTTGAAACTGCCTACTGTGTAAACTGTCATACACAAAAGACTGTGCTCTCTGGCCTTTTAGGAACAGGATGTTAAACAATCTGGGTGAAATCCATTGTTGCATCACTCTACGCAAAGATCTACTTTATTCAAAGTGTGACACAACAAGGGCAGAATCTTACAGACACACTCTGGTTAAATGTTATGTTAAACATGACTTGCTCTGTAAAATGACAGTGAAGTGGAGCGGGATTGACTCTCTGAGTTGTCAGTAGGAGAATCACATGATTCAATATCCACATAAATGTACTGACACATCCATTTGATCATTTACTAGTATTACTCATTGATTGTAACAAACATCAGACAGGAATGTTGTAACTTCCTGTATCAGGAGTCACACATCAACTGTACTTCCTGTACAGCTCTTTGGTAGCTGGCTCAGGACAATGCCAGTTTGGGTGTGAGTGTACTTATAGGAACACATTTACATCTGCTGGCCACAGAAATTAATTTTGCAGTAGAGAAAGGATAAATCCAGTGTTTTTGACATAAAGGTTACAATCAGCAGACATTTACCTTATTGTACATAAAACCACATTTGGATTTTGTTGTGAGATAGTAAGCATACTTTGAAATAAATGGTGGTCTTGGCATGTGTGTAAAGATGGGACCTCTATAAGGTGAATTTGGCTTCTGGATCTCTACAAACATTAATGATCTGCTGTTTGATCATGCAAAATAGTGTCAACAAGTTGTGAGTCAACACGGACGGAGAGTCACATATATGAGAACAGTACTGTCCAAACTTCTTTGTAAGTGTTACATTCCCTATATACTGTCTAAATGTGGAGTCTGCCTCCAGGATGAAAGCTCATTAGCACGTCCTCTTGTCATACAGGAGCCCACAGCTGAGTAACTGTAACCTCTCACCTTCATAAGCTCAGTAAAATACATCAGTACAGTTAAAGCAGCAACTAGGAACTTTCATTTTGTGTATTCCGTTTGCCCCATGGTCAAAAGCTGTAGTGTTTCTAAGACTGTTTCATAACCAGTTAACCCTGAGTTGTATCATTCTCTGACGTCTAGACGGTGGTTTGAACAGACATTTTAACAGCAGCAACTTGTTGGTACTTGACAATGCCATACCATAATGGCGTTCCAGCTTGCCCTCAGCATCTGTTTTTTTTTTCAATTAGACCATAAACACACACAAACAAACCGCATGTCTTTACACACAAATACTGCACCTTCTACCAGTCACAACCACACAGACACAAGGAGATGTGTTCAAATTCACATGCAAACTAAATACATTTTATATAATATGCATATTAAACAAGCAGCATTACCAAATAATTATTCAAACTGCAGACTGCTTGGTATATAGGACAAATCAACAGAGACTGAACGGTATAAAGCAGAGCATTTGAAAGTCAACTTGGTACTTTGGGTACTTTTCAAAAAGTTTAAAAATGCACAGCTTGTTGCTCTTGGATCTGTTTTTGTATGTGGTCTGTTTAACCCAGGTCAGCTGCCCAACTTGAGGAAATGAAAGATGAAAGAGCTACTGGACAACCAACATATGCAGTTTCTGCCAATGACATCTTGTGTAGAGTATAAATGAGAAAACAGTTACATTTCATGGCTGAATAAGGGAGTAGAAATCCAGAGTTGATAAGAAGGCCCTGGCTTTTCTCCAAACGTACATGGCCTGGCACTGACACATTTGCACTAAAGTTTTACTTATCTATAGTTCCTGCAATGTAAAATGGTTGCAAGTACTACTGATTTCATTGAGAATCAATACTCAGTCTGCTGCTCTATGAAGTTTGTAGCTCACTGTTGTAGTTCACTGGTCCTTGAGTCCATCCAAATCTCTCCAAACCCCAATGCTCTAAATGACAGACGTGTCTGACAAACACTAACACCACACCCTAAATGAATGCTAATTCAGGAAAATAACACTATTTTATACCTTCACAGGTCAAACTTTTCCTGTCAAATACTATAGTCTATCTAAACTTTATATGATTGAAAGAGTAAATGGCCCTCTTTTAATGAAAAGTGTGAATTCTTGCAAGTGGATGTTAACAAGGATTAAATGGTGAACTGTACTGATTTTACACTTCAAAGTCTGTTTACAGGTCTTGGTCTTGCTGCATATGTGAAAAAAGTTGTATAAAACACGGGTTCCCAATCTAGGGGCCTTCTTAATTTTAAACGAAATGAAGGAAAGTGCAAAAGATCTCACAGGATGAGGGCACGGTGAAGGCCTGAACACAAGATATGTTCACTGTTTCTACAATCTATTGTTATTACTGTTACAATTACATAAATACATAAAAATACACAATACAGATAGAGAATTGTATAAAAATGTCCTAAAAACTTCCGTAAAACTCATCTCGGATGCTCACAGGAAATAATTTGCTCAAATCACAAATTTTACACAAACTTTCTGCAGTTGTTGCCTTCACTGTTTGGTTTAAGTATACAGTATGTCAGTTGTAATACTGTTTTTGTTATGCTTTAAATATAATATGAAATATCCATAAAATATGTTACTTAGTCAGGTCAATTTACTCAGTCATAGAAAAAGGAGTCCCTTAAGGAGAAAGGTTGGTAGAAAGGTAAATTGCCTCAAGTGACATCACTTAAGTCAGTGTCGGTTGGGGGTAAAGACTACAGGTTTGAAAATGAAAAACATTTAAGGAATGTGGAGAGAGAAAGAAGTGAGTTTGCAGACCTCTGTACCTCTGCTTTTAGCATAACAAACCCAGATCTCAAACTCTGCACAGTGGAGTTGCATTGTGGGTAATGGAAGCACCAGGTTTTCACAAAGAAAAATAATGTGTGGAATAAAAAAATACGATAACTCTGGTTCTGTTGCATCAGTTTTTATATATTTAAAATTTTAAATCAGTGGAGTACTCTTAAGTAATGTTAGCCAAGTCTTTGCTAATATGTTAGCCATAAAATAAAATGCTGACTTTTTTTTTAAGAAATTGTACCATATTGTGGTCACAAAAACATATATCGGTTTAACCATATTCTCTGTGAGTATGTATTAGTTCAGGTGGTCATGTGCACCACTGTAGCTGTCAGCTAAAGTAAACAGATCCATTCAGGTTTGACGCTAACACGATAATCCATTCTTCTCATGGCAACTGCAACTCGCTGCTCCTCCGTGCCACTCATTGTTCTTAATGGTTATATTCCTCCTATCACCACCTTGTACCACCAATTGTAAAACACAACTGTATAACCATATATGGTTTTCACTTGTGTCATAAGCATTGTTGAACCAGCTTATACATGTGCCGTAAGCTAACTAGTTTGGATTCATATTTAAATGGTCTGGTTAAAATAAGAATGTGTTCCTAAGTAGCTAATTGAATAGTCTACTTAAATAACAGTGGGTTTCTGGCCGAACTAGTCCTGGGTTACAAAGGGGGAGGATTAAAAGCAGGCACTGTCCACATTTCTCCACATCAAACTAAGAAATCCACTAAACCCAGACTAAAGGCAGTTCCTGCTGCAGGAAAGACATTAGCATCACTGTACTATGACTCAGCACTCTGCAGCTAGAAACCATGGCTAAGCACTTTATTACAGCAGAGCATCATCTGATCACATGTGGCTTGGATTAATATCTCTGCTGTAGGTCATAGAAAAAAAAACTGTGCCCAAAAGTATGATCCATCTTTCATATGGACCTTTTTTCTTTTTTGACCAAAATAGGAGTTTCCAGATTCTCCACTAATGCTGAGCAAGGTCATATTTCCTGGTGAGGCGACAGGAGGCCTCTGTGTTATGCACGCATGAGTCTGTAAAAGGCCATGTTTTCCCCTCAACACACCACTGACACAACTTTTTCTGACACCTCCTGGAGCTTTGGTTTAAGTTTCAGGAAGAGATCACACTCTCCCTCTCTCGGCCCCTCCTTCCCTCCCTTTTTCTTCCCCCATTTTCTCCCTCTCCTTTCTGTTTGCATTCCTCCCAACAATGCCGTGTTCTCCTCGTCACTGCGAGGTGATTCGAGGAAGCACTGAAACCTGACCCCATTGTGTATGTACATGTGCACGATGTTGTGCACACACAGCCGCGCTATGTGGAAAATTACTGTCCTCTACACTGCCTTCTCCTGCACCTTCCCTTCTTCCACACACATACACTGAAACACTGCTTTGGATGCCCACTAACAGCCCACAGTGTATCAAAGAGTACAGTCAAGGACACTGCAGTGGGTGGAGAGAAGGGGAGACACACTCAGCTGATTGAAGCTCTTTGAAAACTGCAGATAGACACAGCTTGTCTGAAAACACGTACGTAGTGAGATTATTTGTATATTTTCACTTACAATACTGTATGTTGCACAGTTTTACTACCAGAGACGTTTTCTTTTGAGGTTAAGAGAAACCCTGCTCTCTGAAAAGCCACACAATAGCTACACACCTGGCACAGTGTGGGAGTGAGTGTGGGTGTATTTGTGTGTAAGCCTTCTCCTCCTGTCACCTATGGTCACATGGTTCAAAGCTGGCCTATTTTAGGGAGGCAGGGAGAGGAAGAGAGCAGGAGTAAAGAGGGAGGTAGCTGTGTTGTATTACATCCGATCCTGGCTGCTGATGAATGTCTTTTACCTTACCAGACTCTGATTTGACTGTGGCACACCAGGCATACCTGGGGATGGGAGTTTTGTGTATCGCAAAATTGTGCGAATAAAGGTTGCTCAACTGAACTGAACTGAGAAAGCGGCTATGGACAGAGAGGAAGGTGGCGGAAGGAAGGGTGATAGCTGTGAACACTTCTCCATTTATACAGGAAAAAGACCAGAATCTGCTGGTGATGTATAGTGTGACATCATCAGTGAGCGACCTTAAAGGGACCCCGCGCCACATGTGAATCATGAAACACATGTTAAGATGTGGCAATAAACAAATGGGTCTGAAAGTATTTCAACTTCCTATGACTCAATTTTACTTTATGGGACATTAGTTTACAGGATAGTTTTTGTTGCCTGGCAACATTATTTTATGGCACACTCAATGAAGAAGCTTGGAGCTGTTGGTGTCTGAGTAACACACACACACACACACACACACACACACACACACACACACACACACACACACACACACACACACACACACACACACACACACACACACACACACACACACACACACACACACACACACACACACACACACACACACACACACACACACACACAGATCTGCGGGTGAGTAAAACAGGTCCAGTCAGTTTTATGCCAGAAGTGGGGGCTGTAGAGCTGAGCAATTATGAAGACACACATTCATAGTGTGTACCCTGTCACTGTGTCCTGTCAAGTCACTCTTCTCCTCTTTCACCTTAAACTTTTTCACATTCAATCATCCTGTAAAACCTACTAGAAGACCCTACAAGAATCAGATCTAGGAACATCTTTTGCTCACATGCAGTCAGATCAATTAATTCCTCATTCCTTCAGCTTAAACACACGTCAGTGTGCTTCGGGAGACCCTGTGTACTTTTGCCACCTTTTTAGTTGATATTTTTCCTCTTTGGGTGGAGAAAGAAAATAAAACACACATTCCTAAGGTCATCATGTTGTTAAAGGATCAGTTGTTGACAGACTGCTGCAAAATGATGAACATTGAGAATCTTATTAAACGTCTCTGAGCTTGTTTCCTGTTTCTATTCTGTTGAGCTCTGCTGAGAGAAATGATAATGTATCATTTTAATGAGAACACACAAGAAACTCAGTGACCCCTAAAATTACTCTTTCAAGCTCTATCGTCTCATCCCTCTGCTCATTTGTCCTTTCATCGTTGCCTCTAACTTCCTCTCTCCTCTTCGCCACACCTCTCAAAACTTACATCATGGCACCAATCAAACACCCGTGTCGTGTCTCCTTACACATCTTACCACGCAAACACACCCCTGTGCAGTTTGTCACGTCTCACTGAACCCCGCTGATTTAAATCTTTCAAAAACAAATAAGTGATTGTGAAATAAATACAACCAATCTGACTTACAATTCTCTCCCAGCATGCTCTATGTTTTATTCACTTCCTTAAAGAGATGTATCACATTACAAGGATTTCCTCATCCGCTGTACTGACAAACTCCAGTCTTACAGCAAAGTTATGAAGGTGACTGTATACTCAATGACCTCTACAAACACATGCTCTCCTCTCCTGTCTTCTCAACCTCTGCTTTTTCTTCACATCAGTCTCTCTCACTCATACAAACATAATGGAGGCAAAAGAAACAGAAAGCACTCACCTTTTTAACCTGGTCATCCTTGAGTTCAGTGAAGTAATAGGCAAGTAGCTGGGCCGCAATCATCCTGGTCCTCTCTCACACACACACACACACACACACACACACACACACACACACACTTGCACCTACAGTCAGATAGAGAAAAATCTCAAATAAAAAGGTAAAAAAAAGGAAATCAAACTCTGCCCTGGCTCTACCTCGTACATTCAATCTGTCACACGCCGCAAGAAATATAAAAATATCCTGAATCCAATCTGGTGTGGTTTAAAATAGACAGAGCTGCTTCATGTGCGGCTAAGACTCTACAGCTCTTTTCTCTGTGTGCATGTGAGTAAAGCCAGGAAGCATGAGTGAGACAGCAAGTTTAGCTGCCGGAGGCAGAGAGAGAAAGAGAGAGGAGTGGGGAGGGCCAAACATGAGCCATGCCCACTGTCTCTGAGTTTATTGGTTAGAGAGTGTGAGTGGCCATGAGGGGGAGCTGAATGCCACATCCTCTTCCCTGTGATTGGCTGGTATACTGACGCCTTGGAGGCAAACTCAGTGATGGAGGAAGCTAGGAAGAGGAGGAGGGGGGCCTGCCTAATTAGGGAGGGTGACGGGGGAGGGACGGAAAGAAAGAGGGAAGTAAGGTGAGGAGGGAATTTGGGTTTTACTGCTTCTAGGAAGTTATAAAATTACCATTCGGCGTGTGTGAAAGTGACTCATGCAGTCGTAGTATTAGTCAAAGAACTCTATGGCTTTCAAGCGGTTGTCCTTTGTATTGTGGAAAGTAAGGTTTTATATGCAGCTCTGGTAAAGTTCATGAATATGACGGTATGGAGGTCAGGAAGCATCAGAGGGTGGCAGTGTTTAGGTGGAAGCTGCTGTACAAGCTCCTTCTCCCTAAGAGGAGACCTTCAGTGGACGAAGTTATATGGGGCCAATGCAGCGTAGGTGTTATTGTTCAAAATGGATCTAAATGTTGTGGAGAGGTGGATAACCTGAACCTATCGTACATAATAGATTTGACTGGTAGATGAGAGTTACTCATGGCAACATGGATATGTCATGTTAGTCTGTGAGGAATTATAATGGACATCAACCCTCGTGAAAAATGTAAATATTTAAAAGCAAATAATAATAATATAATGTTTTGTAGTATTTCTGAGGGCGTTAAACCCTCAAATCTCAAATGATCTTTTATCACCTCGGGTGTAATTGAAAATGTATTAACCCACCTCTCTGCATGGGAGACTCTGCGTGGGTCTGTGTGACTGAAAGCTTACATTTATTTATTCGACTTTCAATAGAGATCAGTGTACAGATGCTTTGACTTCTTGTCATTTGACTTAAAAGTGCAGAGTAATAAGCAGTCCACTCCACCTGCCTTTCTATAATTCAGGTGGAAAGAAAGCCACTCGCTCACTCACTCTCTCACTCACTCCAGCCTCCTGAGATTCGACCATCAGGCAGCCACTTTCTTTGGCTCCTCTGTCCTTTCAGACAGACATGACATCATCATCATCACAACAACAAACAGCTGTGTGTTGTCTGGACTCACACAGACACAGAGGGATTGTAATCCTTTATACACTCAATATGTGGGCTGTGGAGTTAATTCCACCTCAATATTTTATCTAAGCAGTAGTGCGGCAAAGTGAGCAGCCAAACCCTGCTGAAGTGTCCTCCAGTAAGGCGCATTATACAGATAAGGCTTTGTAATGGATTCTGACTTCTGAATTTATTATGGAAAGGTTCAAGGAAAAGCAAGAATCTTATCAAATGGAAGTCAACAAGTGGTAGCCGGCTCATTTCAGCACTTTGAGCACCTTAAGAAAGAAAGTCAACTATTGAAGCAGTCCTGAACTTGCAGTACACAGCACAACGTCACATCCAAAACTATTATGTCTGATTGCTCGATATTTTCATGGTATTTCTGTTTTTACACAGACTACAGCACTGAAACCTGAAGCTGTATTGTTAATAGGAAACTCCATGCTCAGACTCTTTTACACAACACCATCTGTGATGTTTTAATTAATGCATTCCAGAAATTTAACTGTAGTTTAATGGTGTGATTGTTTTTTTGTTTTTTGTCATTGTACCCATCTGCCTCTTCTGCTAGTGATTTCTTCCTTCCCGAGAGTGCCATTCGACATCCTCCCTGCCAACCTGCCTGGACTTGTTGTATCATTTGCTGACTGGCAGCTAAACTGATACACGCATTATTATTATTATATAAGCTAATATTAGCCACCCTGCTATAGGCTGAGAGTTAACAGTAAATTAACCACTTGCACAAACGCAGTCCAGAAAACCAGCTGCCAACAAGTACGATGGATCTCTGCAATGTAACGTTACATGACAACACACAGTAACCTTTATCCCTCAAGTTTGCCTACACACTTTGTATCATCATCACAACTAATCCCACATCTTCACCACTGACCCAGCAGTTGCACTATTACAGATAATCCCAGCAGGTCTTAGCTCCTCCAGGTTATACTATAGGGATACTTAAATTACCTTCATTGGTGAGGTTTTCCCACGATCAAGCGAAGCCGGCATACAACAGTTGTCACCACAATGATGTTTTGGGGCGTTGTGGTGTCTAATTTTTCCATTGTCCACTCCGTATAGCGAGTCAAATCCAGGTTTCAAGCTTTGATTCATTGTATCTCTCTAAAAGTGAAAGCTGAGGTCCCTGAAAACTAACTATATTTTGAAAAGAACAGCACAATCCTACCAGAAAAGAGACAGAGCTCGTCCTTTTGTAAACCCTGAAGAATCAGTGTCTCAACTCTGCACATCTACTGGTGACCATTTCTGTGTTTGTGTGTGCATGTGTGTGTCAAAGCTCTTATTGTTGGTTTACAGGGGAGACAAAGACACACATCCACATTCTCACAGAGCTTTGAACACACACACAGTGAATGTATAACAAGACTCACACACCTTGCTCCCTGAGGAATGCCCATTTGGGAAGACTGAAAGATGTGGAAGGCATTTGAGGTTACTCAAACTAAAAGCTAAAATAAACAAAGGATGTACAGTAACAAAAGTGCACAGCAGAGAGGAGTAAGGTGATACAGGATGAAAGGACATAGAAAAAGACATTAAAGAAAAACAGAGGACAAGGAAAAGAAAGCATGCCAGCTTCGGTATCAGTCACTTCACTGCTCTGTGCTGCACGAGCTGCAGATTCAGCAGCACAGCTGTGTTAGTCAGAGCATGTGTGGTCTAACTGTGAAGCTATTAGGTCACTACTAGGACAGCATGGGATTACTGTGCTGTGTGTGTGTGTGTGTTTGTATGTGTGACGTAGCCCTCAGCTGGTAGCATTCTAACATGTTAATCCCTGACAGATTAGCTACTGTTTCACTCCTAGGAGCACGCAGCCGCCCTCAATAAATTTCCTCCCTCCCTTTCTTTAATCCTGTCTAAAATGTTTTCTTCCTGTCGTTTTTCTTTCTTGATGTTTTGTTTTTGCTTTGCATTATTTTCTGTATTCCTTGCACTCTGCTGCTGATTTCTGCCTGCCTTCATCTTCAACACATCATCTAATCAGTCAGGAATGGATTAGTATAAGTACCCTGATCATTGCTGTTCATTCCCTGTCCAGTAATGTCAAATCAGTAGTTCGAGATTATAATGCAACTTGTAAACACAAATATCAACTGTAAATTTAGCAGAAAATGATAAATAAAAAGTCTAAACATCATATTCACACAGACATACAATGCTAAAACACTTAAATATCTAAAAGTTTGAAGTCTTTTTCTTGATTTCTTCTCTGCCTGTACTGTTATTTCAGCATGTACTGTGCAGACAGACAGATAAAAACACAGGCAAATAGGCAGTAATCCAGCAAGACAGATAAGCAGACAGGCAGAATGACCAAAATGGCACAGATGTACAGACAGACAGACAGCGAGCAGAGAGACAGATGGGCAATCACAAGGACAGAGAGTCAGTCCAGAATGACAGAACAGAGCGATGGTTGTTGTTATTGTTGGGAAACGTGGTCAGCGGCATTCCAATCCTCCTCCTGCCCTTCATCAATACCGAGATACTGCTGACTAACACACACACACAACACACACACCTTCTCTTTGTCTCTCTCTCCATCCAACATAGGCGAGACCATACACTGTCTAACTAAACTGAAAAATGATTAAATCGCTGTGTAGGAATCGTGTGGTTTGAAGAACTGAAGAATTTATACACCAAATTTCGGGTACAAATGAATGCAGTGTAAAATTTAAAGAAAGATTTCAAACACATTAACGAAGACAGCAAGACTGATAAAGATGTATGCATTTTTTGAGTTTTATAATCAAACAACTCAGTTTGTCTCCTTTACAGCTATTTGGACTCTCTAGGAAATTTTGTAAAAAGACAAACCAAAAAACCCATCACTAATACAAAACAGCCAGCAAATGGGAACATTTCGCAAGAAAGCAATGAGGCCTGAATGTTTGATCAGATGGGCAGAGACAGTTTTTAACATATGTAAAGAATAATCACATTTTGACAACTGAACTGGCAGTCAGAACATCCTTTTTGTTTGGTCTCACATGAGGCGCTGACCTTGAGTAGTTTGCAGGGTGTGATTTATGATATGAGTGTTCTTTCTTTTCCAAAACCAAGTCCTTGGCACTGATATCACAGTCAGTGCACGGCTAACACTGGCAGGTCATGGTGTAGCTGTGGGTATGACTCTTTTCCCACGACTGACGCAGTAATGATTGGAAAGTAGAGGGCTGTGGTGTAAAGCACTCAGGTACCAAATATGGGTTAAAAAAACAAATATTTTTGCTAGACTAGTCATTCATTTCTATTGAAAAACAAAAAGGCATCTCTATACAAAGCCAATCGTTAAAAAAATGACTTTTAAAGGGGCAAATAAAAGGTTTTCTCTAAGAAGAGAAGCAGGTTGTGACAAGCTTTGTAATTTTGTAAAAATACATGAATTGGAATCCAGTTTTTCAAACATTATTGGGAACCAGAATTTAATCTGAGTCATCAGTCATGTGCTAATGAGTGGGAAGCCTGTGAGGAATCATGTAGTGAAAACCTCTGCGTGTGTGTGTGTGTTGTCCCCACTAAGCTCCTTGCTGTCAGGTGAAAAGAAAGATGTTGGCTGTTCCATTTGTATCTGAGGTAACACATGGTGGTCTGCAGCTCTTCCACATGAGCAGAGGACACTTGCAGTGATAAGAACAGCAGTTCAGAGAGTGGGCTTTCCAAATTATCCATATTATTAAAAAAGTGAAGAAAAAAATTCATTCTTGCTTCTGTGTGGCCACAGCTGTGATGAGGGCAGCACCCTTCCCGCTGCCTTCCTCTGATGGCAGGAAGGTCACATTACACTGAGGAGCCAAAACTCTGGCAGTCTCTTGGAGGACTCCAGAGAAACTAGAAAGAAGCAGCAGAATAAAAAAACAGTTTAGTGTTTTGTTTAGTAATTTGAAGAAACAAAGAGTAAAAGTGTCTCTTGATTCCAGTCAGTAACAACAAACATTTACTTGAACTGAATCATTTTAAAGTAGTTTTGCATTAGTGTCACACCATGACAACAGGAAATAAAAATAAAAATGACTCACTGTGGATGTAGTTTGTAGAGAGCCCCGTCCACCCCTACAGTAATGTTCAGATGGTCCAGACCTCTGTTCTCTCTGATCTTATCGACCACGGCCGCCATTCCTGCCCCACACAGCTGAGCTGCACGACGTGACACAGCTCCACAAACCTGTATCACAATGAACGCCATTATCATTATTGCAACACTTAACAGGCTGTTGGTGCCACAGTTTGCTGAGCCAGAAAATATCATATCCTCTTCAGAATCCCAAAGTGAGGTTGCAACAGAGAGCCTGATTTTCTGGGCATTGTAGTGTTTCAAAATTTAAACTCTTAACCTCTCTCTGGCATTTGAGACAAGAAATAGGCCAAAGAGTTGCAGAATTCATATGTGTAAACACTAACTTTTGACTGTTGTTAACAAGGTTAAAAAGTTGTATAGAGTGCCTGTAGTCTGCTAAACTACTGCCTTTATAATGGTATATTATTGATGTGAAAACAAAAAACGCACATGTAACTAATAACATTAATGATGGCTGCATTGTATTCAGGTGTGCCAGTTCAATAATTTTTCCTGCAACTACTAAAGTATGTGCTGTAAAGAAGACTACTGGTCCAGAATGTAATCGGGCCTCTAAGTGCTGAACTAGTCAGACTGTGGGAGGCTAAAATAGATTAGTAAATAACTGACTGAAATAAATGACTATTATTAATGGCAAAATATCAAAGACAATTGCTCTCTGTCAGGTACAATTTAATAAAACACTAAATATGACTGGAGTAGATTATGTCCCTAAAATTGCATTTTACTCAAAAACACACTGGTCTACAATTTGGTTCAAAGCTTGAACATGACACAGTGTTGCTCATCATTTTCTATTTCCTACCTCTTTGACAATGATGCTGTCCTCACAGGTGCTGTCCAGCCCCAGCTGTTGGAGAATAGATCTGACCTGCAGTAGAGCCAGGCGGTCACTAGGGGGAGACAGTTACACATCAGTAAAAAAAGTGTATGTGTGTGGTAGGATGGAGGAATCATTTAAAAATCATCATTGAACAATGGACAAAACTTTTAATCTGTGGAATTGTGATTTATCTGAGCCTTACATAAACATACTCCTACCTCTCTATTTGGGACAGGTATTTGGTTTGGAATATCCCAGGTGTTTTTAAAGCTTCAGTGACGTGTCCTCTGAACAGCAAACCTCCTCTGGTTAAATCCAACAATACTTGACGGACAACTTCTCCTAAATACATCCCACTGGTCAGCTTTTCAAACCTGCACACTCACAAAGACACATATTATTATGTCATTATTGTTTGATCCACCAATACTGACACACACACACACACACACACACACACACACACACACACACACACACACACACACACACACAAACGGTGAGTGTTTCTTTTCTAACCTTTGTTTTCCAGGGTTGATTGAGTTTTGGTTCACCTCAATGTCATAAGGTGTGATGATGTCATCCAGAGAGCCATCATCACCCAGACCTCCCCACTCTGTGTTTATACACATCTTTGATATGTCAGCATCCCCCTCTTTCTTCTCTCCTTCCGACCCATCATCCTGCTGGAAGCAGAAACAAATGAGGGGGGTAAATATGTGAGTTATCAATTTAAAACTTAATTTAACCATAAATCACTACAGCTCGCTGACAAAGTAAACACTGTGAGCATTTTACAAGATTTCTTCTACCTTATCCTCCTCTCCTTCAGGCTCCCCCTCTTCTCTTTCCACTTTTCCTGTCTTTTCTTGAGTCTTCTCAATGTTCTTCAGTTGCTCCATGTAACAAACATTAGTGCCAGTTCCTGTATAACAGAATCACATGGTTGACTTATGTCTTATATAAAAAAATAGATAATAAATAATAATATAATATAAAAATAAAATAAAAACAACTACAATAAAGCAAGCATTCAAAATATGCCCTGCCTGTCAAACTCAGAAGCTTGTGTTTAGAGACAAAATCCAGTGTGCTTAAGCAACAGATTTGTGGTGAACAGCTGCAGCCGCAACACACACAAGTAGTACTTGTGAAGACTTTGATTGGTGAGTGAGGAATTAACCACCATAACTACATGGCTGACCACAATCCAAGACATAATTCAAGCCTTCATTCAAAGACCTATACTTTAAAAAGCCCACAACTAAGCAACGACTGGCCAAAATGTGAAACAAACGTAAGGTTACATACCAGCAATCAGTCCAATCTCACACTGTGGGTCTTCATAGGCACAGCTCATCATGGTCCCAACTGTGTCATTGACTACTGCTACAATGTCCAAGTCAAACTCCTACAGGTACAAACACACAACATACTGTACATGCTGCCGTATGGTTCAATTATTGCAGGATAACTGCTATTAAAGCTGATTTCTTAAGGGCAGATATTTAATACATGACTCAGTATAATGTACTCTACAGCAGCAGCCAGATGTGTATCAATTTGAGGGCACCAAAAGGTTTGAGAACCACTGCTTTACAGTATGTAAGACTATAGTGAGTCTGGACTTTTATCAAATGACGTCCAATCATTTGTCATTATAATTTTCATTTGTTCTGTTGTGCATCTTACAGGCTCATTGCTGTACATGAACAAATTGGGAATATTACAGCATTATTCTTTCAAATCCATCTAACAAAACCCATGTAATCTTTATAAAACTCTATTCTGCTGTGTTTTGACTCACATTGCGTCTCTTGATGGCCTCCCTCAGCATGCTGACAACATCTTGTCCTTCACAGTCTGTGGCCTTGAATCCTTTGGTCCAGCTCACCAATGTGCCCTTTCAACAAAGGTTGAAAGGGGTTACAACATACATATTTTTTATTTTTGGTGTCTGTTTAATTGTGTATTTTCACTCTGTACTTATCTTCTGAATAAATTTGTAAGGCTATTAATTGGATCCTTGATTGATCACTGGTTGGCATTTCTATGAAAAAGAGTTTTCTGTGACTGTAACTAAGTCCAAGATCCACAATCTGATGTCCACACTTACTGTGTCAATAGCTGTCTGCTCGCAGGGGAAAGAGAAGGTGAAGCCTGCAGGAAGATGAGCGTTCTTCATCCCCATGTAGTCCAGGAAGTCACTAACACACTGCGCTATATGATCAAACAGCTACAGACGGACAAGAAGAGTTTCTAATGAAAGAATTGTCAAGTATGGTTAGACAACATGATGATCTTTCTGCACAGTGATTAAAATATATATTATCTTTTCATCAGTCACTGGTTTCAGGTGGGCTGTCCACTGCTAGTCTTTTTTGTGTATTAACACTCCAACAAAAATGTCCTACCTCTTCTCCAGTGCCCTGCATTATCTCCAGCGGTATGGTGTAGATCTTATGGTAAAGTCGTGAGTTTTGTTGCAGTCCTTTTTTAAAGTTCACCAGCAATGCTCTGAAGTTTGTTCCTCCAAGATCCAAGGCAAGGTACTTCCCATGCTCTGGAAAATACAAAATATTAGCATATTGATGATCAGTTTTTAAACTTTTAAAAACTTTCTTTTTGACAAAGATATCTCTGGTAGAAGCTGAAAGAAATTCTGACAATGAATTATGGGTTTCATTTTAGTTTCTGACCATTGCCATCAGGTGTACGGTACACAAAAGAAGGCAGCATCTTGATAGTCGAGGGGCCTTTACTCTTCAGCCCTGCTTCCAGCCCTGACCTCATTCTGGTCTTTACCAACTGCAGCTGCTCTTGGCTCAGTTTGAAGGGAGACAGCGTCTCATCCACCTGGAGAACAAGTAAGACAATATCAGAAACAATAGCATTTATGAGGATAAACTGTGTATGCTTTGTGAAGACACACATCACATAAAGCGGAGAAACACACACAGCATCCTAACCTGTCGCCTTCGTGATGCCAGTCGTTGGGCGACTGCTGTTACCAAAGCAGCTCCTTTGCTACTGCCGCTGTCTGATAGGACAAATCTGACATGGCACTCAGGAAGCAACCGCCGCACAACTTTGTGGAGACGTTTAGGATACCTAAAATGGAAGGAGTCTAATGTTGAACCTCTATTGGTGATCTGTAGCAGCTGGAACAACATCACTACTGTAATTTCTCAATGTAGAAGTCCGGCAAGGTGTTGATTTAGCAAATAAGAACCCATAAATATAATTTAAGCTGTTTTATGATGTATTAGATTGGGTGGATTTATATTACAGCTATCTGCAATTCATTCAAAATTTAGTACTTTAATTGCATTCAAACTATATGACTAAAGCTACTTCATTACTTTGTAATTCATTTTATTATTTATACGTGTGCTTTTCCTACTGTCACATGTCAGAATGTCTTCCGTGTAAAAGGCCTATTGATGTGCAACACTGGCATATGAATGTCATTTCTGGTGAATATTTACATAATAACCTACTGTGGGTGTTTCTTGTACACGGTTCCATCGACACCTACGGTGATCCTTAATGTCCTCAAATTCCTGTTTTGCTTAATTCGGCTCAAGATGGCCGCCAGTGCTGCAGCCACCAGATTTGAGGACCTGAAGGAGACTATGGTGCTGACATGTTGAACAGCAACACAGTCATCAGATGATGGGGTCAAATCAAGGTCCGTGAGAAGGTTCTTGGTGTTCTTCAGACCATCTTTGTAACTGAAATAGACATGTATGTTATTACCTGTTCTCACAAAGAGGAAGTGTGACACAGACAGACATAAGAAAGAAAGACAGCTTACTTCTCCATGGCTGCCACATGTGCAGTGGTTATCTTCCCTTTAGTCCTCAGGGCATCAGACACATGTCCATCAAACAGCAGTCCAAGTTTAGCCATCTTTAATACAACCAGCCTCACTAACTCACCCAGATACATCCCACTGACCATCTTCTCAAAGCTACAATTAGGAAGGAAAACAGAAACATCATATCGTGTCATATCATGTCATATCGTGAGAAAAGCTGCTTTCCTCACATTTGTTTTCCAGGGTTGTTGGAGGTAGCGTCGACGTCCCTGTCAAACTCAGTAATGTAGTCATTCAGAGCCCCATCCTCTCCGAAGGCCCCCCACTCAGTGTTTACACACATCCTGCCCTCGTCTCCCTCCACCAGGTCAACGTGACGCAGCTCCTCCATGTAGCACGCATTGGTGCCGGTTCCTAAACACACAAACACACAGGATATATTTGTACTGTTAAAAGAAAAGAGGGTGTTAAACATGAAAATTATTTCCTAGTCCTACTTGAACTATATTTGAAACTGACAACTATTAACCTAGCTTGTGAATATGTCTCCACTCCAAAAAGTCAAAATGGTTCAAACACAGCGTACAAAACCAGGCACACAAAACACACACTCACTCACACACGTGCATTAAGATGGTGAAACGTCGTGAGTTTTTAACAGTCTCAATTTAACACTGATGCTTCTATATGACCTACGTAAGCACACCAGACCACACCACAGAGGCTGATTTCTGTTTCTATTTAGTTATTTGTGATGCCAGGTCAGATTTGGTCGGATAAAGGTGCACAACAAATATTTATCAAGGTCTCATTATGTGTATTATATTATATGTATCATAATATGATCAGTTGTTGTCCACCCCCTGTACAGTAAGCTACATGTATAGAGAAAATGATTGTGGAAGAGAAAACTGACACAAAGATGAAGATAAAACATTACAAGAGATTATAAAGAGTTTATCTGTCATTTCACACACACACACACACACACACACACGCACACACGCACACACACACACACACAAACACAGATACACACACGTCTAACTACAAGTATTAACTACAAAGTAGTTTAGAGCTTCAGTTGTTCACTGCCTCAAACAGTTACAGTAAATTGTATGAATCTGATGATATCCACTCTAAAGATGAACATACTCACCGATGATGAGTCCTACTTCACAGTACTGGTCATCAAAACCGCAGGTCATCATGGTTGCTACAGTGTCGTTAACCATGGCTAACACCTCTACATCCATACCCTGCAGAGGGATTTACAGTTTGATAAATGCAAGTTTAAAGGTTAACACCAACTACAGTGCAGTTTGTAAACTGAATTAAGTTTTTCAGAAAAAGTGCAGTCTAAGTGATCACACTAGAGTGAGCTCCTCATCAAAAGTCATGTCTGATAAAGTAATAGTAATAGTAATAATCCGGGCGTCCTACCCCAGTTCTGTCAATAGCCTCTCTGAGGGCTTGGACCACATCTTTACCCTGAAGGCCTCGAGCCCGGTAGTTCTTGCTCCAGTTTAACAAAAATCCCTACAGAGAAAGAAAGGGAATAGGAAAAGAAAATACACACGGTAAAATACACTGCAGGTGCAGGAAAACCAGAAGGATGGGTACAGAGTGTCATTACCTGATTCAAGGTGGCTTGTTCACAGGGAAAAGAGAAAGTAAAGGCTAGGGGATGTTTCTTCTCCAAACTGATGTTCTTCTCATGCAGGAAGTCCTTCAGTGACTCTGACACATGGTCAAATAGCTACAGACAGAAAGGGAGAGAAGTCAAGAAGAAGGTGGAGAATCTATGTAGCTCCTACATGCCTTTTCTGTTCCCACTAGAATCCCACCTTCCCTTGTCCTTCTGCTTTTCAGTGTCCATGTTTCCTGTGTCTCCACCTCTCCCTCATACCTCTGTTCCTCTACCAATGAGTAGCTCCTTAGGCATCGGATAGATCTTCTCCTCCATCTCCACTCCTCCCCTGCGAATCCCCATGCCCTCTCTCACTTTAACTTGGAGCACCTTAAACCTGGAGCCTCCAAGATCCAATGCCAGAAACTGTCCTTTCTCTGCAAGAGCCCAGGAGAGAGTCAACAATATATTATGTATTGTACTGTATCTATGTTGTGTATGTATTATATGTTTGTTCAGAATACATTAACTACAAGTTTGAAACCCATCAATGTGAGTAACCTGTTCCATCAGGAGTGGAGCGGACACGTGTTGGAAGCATCTTCACCGCTGCTGCGGCGTTACTTTCCGATGAAAGCCCCTTCTTCATTTCAGCCTGGAAACGAGCTGAGATCTCTTTTAGCTGGTCATCATGGAGACGCATGGCGTACAGAAACCTGTCCACCTAAAAAAAGGGGGGAAAAATGAGGAGAGAAATGAGGAGAGAAACACAGAAAGACAAAGATAAATGAGCCATACTAAGGTATAGAACGTTTTTGGACATCTATTCTATGTGGGATTTTCTTTATTCAGGGTATAATATCCACATTGTATAATACGATAGTGTATAATACATGCTTTTATCCTGAAATGTAGATGTGCCAAACATTTAAATTGCCAAAACTTGCAGCAGCGAGCTCTACACTCACATTACGCCATTTTGTGGTAACAGTGGCTCAATCAAGGGGAGGCAGTTTAATTATGGGACTACGGAGTTTGAAGGAGAGAGATGGAAGCAAGAAAGGTAACATTGTAACATGTAAAAATGTTACATATAAGAGTGGGTATATCAAGCCCAGCAGAGGATGTACTTCCTGTGGCAGCTAAGGAAATTCAACCTATCAAAGATGATGATGGTGCACCTTTACACCGCCATCATCGAGTCAATTCTCACCTCCAGGACCATGAGGCGTGCAGGTAAGATTATGGCTGACCCCTCTTACCCCGAAGACAAACTCTTTGAGTCTCTTCCATCTGGAAGGACGTTGCGCACCACAACCTAACACCACAAGAACAGTTTTTTTCCATTTGCAGTGGGACTCATCAACATGTACCGGGACCCCCACTGACACTGACTCTCTGACTCTTAAAACCACCACCGACCCTGAATCTATGTGTTACATTAATGCACTTTCCTCTGATTTTATCTTTGCACATTGCAAACATCATAATGTGTCACACTGCTTGCAGTATCCGACCATATTGTACATATTGTCTGTCTTTTTATATTTATATATATTGTCTCTTTTTATTGTCTCTATTGTCTTCATATATCTTTATATGTTTAACTGTTACGCACCAACTACTTAGGCAATAAACCTGATTAATGATGAATTAAAGGTATAAAAGATGTCCAAAAGTCTTCCCACGCTCAGTAAATTATCCCTGTGGCAACATGTTCAGGGGTCAAGGTCTCTCTGGCTGTGCACTTGGCTGGGTGAGACACTGTATTTGTGTTTTAGTGTGAGTGTGTGCAGTGTGTGCAGTGTTCCTTATGGGAGTGTCAATACTTTGTCCTCGGGAGAGTGTGTATTGATCCCATCTGCACTAAGAGAGGAGCCGCGACGCTGCCAGGGGAAGATGTTAATCATTGCTCAGGAAAAGACAAATGGGGACACAGTAACTTAAGATTACAGCGCCTTGACCATCTTATTACAGCTTTGCCTACTGCCTTATCTTTGTGATTTTGTAAAGATATTTGTGGGCACGTCTGCAAAAGCTTAGAACGCATTTAGCTTTTTCTTAAATAACAAAACTTAAATCTAATATTTAAAAAAATGTTTTACAGTAATAATGTCAGATAAAGCAAGGAAACAACTACACTTGTTTAATATTAAGGTAACTGCTTTAGCATCCAGTGTAAGCCAATGGGTGGTTCATACTAAAGCAGGACAACAGCTGTGTAGATTCTCATTGGAAATCTTATAAATTGTGTATATTGCAAATTGACTGTTCTTAAGTAGACGGACACTATAATTACAAAACTGCAAGACAACCAAATCCGATTTATCCACTGCAAATTTCACTTTCACAAGATGACAAATTAAAATTGTGTGTATCATGTAACACTGTGGAGTAGCTCACCTTCTTTGTAGGATCCTCCTGGAGTTTGGAGAAGAAGAAGGCAACCAGATGAACAGCAAACATCTTGATATGCAGCACACACAACCATGAAAACTCTTTCAGTTAATGAGTTTGTGTACTTCCGTGAGCGTATAACACAACAGCACACCACTGAAATGCTGTTGAAAAAGATATTTAGTGTGCACACAAATTGGAAAGGAATTTCTTCTCTCCTGTCCTCCTGTGACTGAGTCCAATGGGCAGAGACCAACCTCTACTCTAACTCAATGATTAACAATGAGCCAAACCCATTTCTCCCATCGTTCTGTCCTGCCGTCCAACCCTGTCTTCCTTTTAGTTTCATTTTGTGTCTCTGTTGACCTATACTAGACCTTTACTGAAGTTCTGCAGGACCCTCAGATCACCAAAATATCACCAGTTTTATTGATGCCTGAGGTTGAATTAAGTTAATATGTCTAAACTGGTGCACAATGCATCTAGAATATTTTCATTTGATGGACGCGATGCAGCCATTTGATCATAGCTTCAGTGAAGAGTTGGAACAAACTGAAATAGAATATTCATGACACCATAGAATAAGATTGCTAAAAAATAATGAAGCTACTCAAATGGGAAAACAGCATTTTAAGGGATTAAAATAACTGTACAAGCAGGTACTTGTGGCTGATGTTCCTCTTCATTCATGACTTATGATTGATCTCCAGTGTATGAACTAATATTTGCTGTTTTGTAATGATTTAATATCTTTGTTGCCTCATGTTCCATTGAAAATTCATGTGAAGGATGTGAATGAATTATGCTGACTGCCGTTTAACAATGTGACCCACCTTTTAGCAATAAGTTACTTTTAAACATGAAATCAAGACAGTTAAAACAGTAATTTTTATTTGACATAGGTAATCACATTAAATATACAAATGAGAAAAATATGGTATATCATCTATATAGACACTAACAGGGCTGCACTCACAGGTTTTACATTTGAGTATTCTGAGCAAAAGGAAAGCAAACTGATTCCAGGCCTGCATAACACACGCACTAAGTGCATTTGAAAATGTTTTCCTGATCATAGTGCTTCTAAAAGAGCATTTATGACGGTGTGAACTGAAATCAACTGAAACATTGTGTTAGACCAAGTTGTTGTCAGTTTGCAGGTTGGAACTGAAGACCAGCGTTAGCTCAGGCAGGACATGACAATAACCCACCACCATGTCTCTACTCCTCATAAGCCAAGTGAGGTCAATAAAGTTTGTTGTGGAGCTAATTCGACTTATTAGACAACCAGTTTTCAGTTTCCATGGTGATTGTAACTGAAAGTCATTTTATGCTCACACTGAAAAAGGAGAATGTCTCATAAGGTACGTGAACCCTCAGCAGTGCCAAGAAAGAAAGGCCACTAGCTAGTAACCAGAGCACTAGTGACTGTTTGTATGTTAGATTTTTTCACAGTGAAAATAAGTAAATTACATGACAACCTCCAAATAATGCAGCTTTCTGCTGTAAATCTCAGCTGATCATAATTGAAGACACAGCTCTTGTTCAAAGGTCCCATTTTGGTGTTTCTTTTTTAGCTTTAGCTGAAAGATACTTTTAGTATTACTTTTAGCTTAAAACCCCCATAAATGTCAATCAAACCACCAGATGTTATTCAAAGCTTCCAAGGATCCCAGTTATTGATCTCCACAGGAACAGCACTGCTCATGTATAACAACAAACGCATTTTCCTCTTCATTTCTACTATACCTTTCCCTCTTTCTCTTTGTTGCCCTCAGGGTCAAGTGTGCTCTGATTGGTAGAATCCTGCACTTGATCTTTAAACCACTCCTTCTGCAGCTCCTGGAGCAAATGAGGAGTCAGCAGCCCGTCTTTTATTAGGCGATAAGCCAGAGAGCTTTCCTTCTCCTTTCTGTCACCTTTTTTTCCCTTTGGACTTTTGCTGCCGACAGTTTTATTACGCCTCTTGCTCTGTTTCTGTAAGAGATCAGTGATGGGTGGGTCAGTGGCTCTGATGAGACGGGTGATATTGCGAACACCCTCCTGGATGATTTGATCAAGTTTCTGCTGGATTGCTCGAACCATGACCGTGTCTGGAAACATGTCCATGAAGCGGTAGCTACAGAGACAGAGACAGAGACAGACAGAGACAGAGACAGAGACAGAGAGAGAGAGAGAGAGATGAACCGCAACATTAATAGGCAAGCAATGATGAGCACAGTCACCTACAGTAATGTATAGTTAAACTGTTAAGAAGAGTCAGGAGAAAGTAGTATGATGATGGAAGTCACTGCACCCAGGTTGCGAGTAGAAGAAGTGGAAACTTAGTGTTACCTTAACCAGAGGTAAAGATCCAACACATCATGAACAGCTTCCAAGTGAACCAGGTCTTTTATGTTTTTGGGTGGAGGGAGAGGCCAATGGATATGGCGACAGATCCAGTCAAATGTCAAGGGTTCGTCTCGACTGAACTGACGGGCAAACTGAGAGAGAAACAATATTAAAATCATTACAGGACAGCAGTATTTTGCTAAGCATTTACATTATAAGCTTCCTGACTACGCTACAAGCAACACTAATATTAGAAGTTACAACTTGACCCTGAATCTCAAAGGTTACTTGTTAAGGGACAGTAATTTAATTATTGTGCTAATATTGTTTTATTGCTATGATATAACCATAAAGTGAGAGGGCAAAGGTACAGTGCCTACAAAAAGTTTTCATTGGACACTGAATCCATGAATCATTTTCAAAGTAAAAACAAATCTCTGAAAACTGAGGCCACAAGTCAATAAATTATACAAGTATGTTTTTTTTTTTTTTTTTGCTGGATTAACTGCACCCAAAGAAATCCTCATCACAAGATGAATACCCTCATATTCTTGATCTATCTATGTCCCTTCATAGTGCATTCATCAATGAATTGTCAACTGCATCGGTAGGAAAAGGGGAAACGTAAGAGGCCATAAACTGCTGACTTGGTTACATCCGTAATGTAAAATATGACATCTTGAAATGTGGAGAGATGAGCATGAGGGGATACACCCTGAGATTAGTGCAACATCAAGCAACATTACCTGTAGTATGAAATGGCAAGAGGAGCAGGGGCAGGCAGGTAGGGAGTTAACATATGTATAATTTGTTTATTTGTACGATAACACAACCTTGTAGGGATGGTGTGGACAGTTAATAAAAAGTTAATTATTTTTCCTCAGTGTTGCTACTGCTCATCAGCCCATTGTTACTTCCTTCCTTATCTTCCCATATCTTATGCCTTCTTACCATGTTTACTTATACTGACCTTTAGGAAGGAGGTGCAAACGAAAAGCTGTTTCCTGTTGATGGGAGCAGTACAGAAGACGTAGCGTGACCTCAGGTTGAGTGGGATATGCTGAATCATATCAGCCAGAAACTTGAAGTCATCAATGTTGCAGACAAAATACATACCGTCCACCTGAGAGAGGCTGACAAATATTTCCTGCGAGAAAGGACGGAAAAAGTTTGTCAAAATGAGAGGATGAAGCTACAAAGTGATAAACTAGATGCTTTTCATTCATCGTGTCAAAGTGGCAAGATGGCAGTTAGTTCATTTAGCCTTGCTCTGCAGTCTTAGATCGCAACCAAATAAACACACAGCATGAAACAGTCCCTCCCAAAACTATTACTATTAAAATTAACTTCTGTTCTGTTGTCCCACTTTTCCAGCTCAATGTGATTTTTCTTTCCACAAACTGTTGCTTTCATACTTAATAAAAGCAGGAGAATGAACAGTTACTATACTCACAATGAGGTTTGACAGCGTAGCGTCAGGTAGATGATAGGCAAACATCTCTATTTGCTCTGCTGTAGGATGCAGACCTGCAGTCTGAGACAGAGGAGGAAAGATAAACACACATAGCCAAGCTGAGTTTCCAGGGTTTACCTAAGAGTGTGTGTCTGTGTGTAAATGATCACCTCTATGGGGTCTACTGAGTGTCGGAGTATTTCCTTCAGAATAGGCAGATCGTCTCTGTGCATGGTGGTAACTTCTCCATCTTTAAAAATGGAGGAGAACCTGGGTGAGGGGACAGAGGAGACCTGTTTAAAACATTAAGCTGACAGAAATTAAAATGGTTTGTTGATACCTTTAACACTCCTGGGGATGATAGAGGGAAACGTGAGACTGACCTTCCTGCGCGGCCAGCTATCTGCAGGGCTTGTGATGTGCTGATGGTCTCCATCTGTTTCTCCCCTTTCTCATTAGTGTTAGGCTTAACCAGACTGTTGAAGATGATCCGTTTTATACTCCTGGAGACAGAGGGGAAGACAAATGATGATATGAGCTGAGCTGATGGAATCTACACAATTTCTTCATAATAATTCAACAATTACACTTCTTGTTGGATGAAAAAATATAAATACCATGATAATAATACAGTGTGTTTGATGATACTTACAGATTAAGGCCCATTCCAATAGCATCTGTGGCAACCAGTATCTTGCAGGGGTCGTCAGGATCATTGAACTTCTTGGCCTGTGACAGCTTAGTGCCTGTAAATCACACAACAACCGAGCTTGGTCTCTGTCTGGAGCTTATTTACAAAAGTCACAGAAAAAGCCAAAATAATAGTTGGTAAAAATAAGTATGAATAACAGGAAACTTTACTTTTGTTTAATTTTTAAGATTTTTTCGGACAAACGTTTAAGCTGAAACCAATGAACATTTTTACAAATAGAGCGCGCTAGGAACTTGTTGATTTAAAAAGTACTTTATTCACACATGACCACCTCTAATTTTAATAAACATGCAGACACTAATTTATAGAAAAAAAACTTTCCTTTTTATCTTTGCTGCTAACCAAGATGACATACTGGATCCTTTCCCTACACACAAACATACATAAATCTATACATTCTTCTAAAACCACTTACAAACTCACCTGGAGGTAAACTCCCATAAATCACAGCACATTCTTTCCCCCTGGCCTCAATCTGTCTGCTTATGGAGTAGATGTCATTTTTACTGAAGCAGACAATACAATCTCCTGGACTTAAGTTGTCTAATGACTCAACAGCTTGATCCAGCACTGTGATTGGAGTTAAACGCTTGTAGGTGTTGACCTTAGGAGAAAGACATGAATGGAGGTTCAGAGAGAGGACAGAGACTGGTTACCCAAAGAAAAAACATCAGTGGCACTCTTCTCTTCCTGCTCTACTACATATTGCTGCCTCACCTCCATTTCCTCTCCAGTGGTGTACATCAGCTCTCTGACAAAGTCTATGGCTGCAGGTTCCCCGCACACATGGATCTCCTCTGCACAGAGACCTACACATAAAACAAAGAAAATGTCAAGTGCTGCTAAAATCAGGTACAATGAAAAAAAATATTTACACTTAAAATTAGTGCAAATGTTAGAGGTGACTATATGTTACCTAAAACAAAACCAGAGTTCAAGTTCATTAGTTCAGCAGAGACAGAAAGTCCAAGATGGCACAAAAGGTCTCGTGTGTGTGTGTGTGTGTGTGTGCGCGTTGGATTTTATGTTTTTGTGTGTGTGTCACAAACCTAGCAGTGCTCTGGTCCAGGCCCAGCCTCTGGAAGAATCTCTGATCATTTGAATTTCATCGATTACAGCCACCTCATCTACAGACAGACATACAAAAAAAAAAAAAAATACCTGTGATACATATTCTAAGTGCGGCAATCTCCATGTTAATAATCATCACAAGCATAGTTTCCATCAGTGCCTAAATGTCTACATGAGCTAACAAGAAACGGTTCTAGCAATCCAAAATATTAGTAAGGAAGTAGGGCTGCACAATTAATTGAAATATTATCAGAATTGCGATTTGGCCGAGCGCAATAGGCAAGTCACAGAAGCTGCAGTATTACACAGTATTACACTGAAGTATTGCAGTTGTGCAGAGATGCCCTGACCTACAAATCATGTTCTCCAGATTTAAGATAACACACCCTACAATAATAAATAATGTGTTTGGTACACACCCTAAAATAAGTAAATAAATAAATAAATCTGTGACGCAAAAGTTATCATCCTCACACTGATCAAAATATTTTTTAATATGATGATATGACATGATATTGTGCAGCACTGCAAGGAAGACATATGATTGTTCAACAGTTGGAAGATTTATCCAAGATGTGACAAAACTCTACTGGTGATTTTTGACATATCATATGAAAAAAACCCAAATGGTTAATAATTATTAGTGCATCAATTAATGTGTAGTAACAAAGTATACTGCTTTTTTACTTTGACAGAATCACACTCAAATACTTGTCCAACATAAAGGACAAATTTATTTACACAGATTTTTTGTGATTACACAGGATGAGAGGCCACCATTTTGGGATCAATTAGGAAAGAGTCCACCATTCATTTTTGATTTAGTTGATACAGTCTGATAAGATACAATTCAATCCGATGTCCAACAAAGCAATGTCGAGTTTTCTTGTTATATTAATGTTATTAAACAGAAATGTTTGTATGGGTTATGTTTACTTACATTTTGTGGTGACATTGCACATCTCAATGGTACAGGCCACATGAGCAGCTGGTCGACTGTCCAAGTCCACAAAGGTCCTCTCCTCTCCCGTAACCAAGTCACATGCAACACCCTGCGAATACACGCAAAGGTCAGTACAATAGTCAACAGTATGGCATGGTGAGTAAGAGACAGAAGACAACATCTTAAAAATAGACAGAGATGGGAAATAGAAAAGACGGGATAGACACAGCGAGATACAGACAAGAAAAAGACAGAAACTAAAATGCTAAGAAAGAATACCTCACTGATGTAACATTGCACCACTATAACATTGTCAGACTAACAACTGACAGATTAAAAAAAAACTGTCAAAACCTGGTGCCTACATTGCCCACGATGCAAATCTGCCACCAACAGTTTTGATGGAGATTCAGGTGTGTTAAGACACTGTATCTCATTTCACACAGCTCCCTCTGGAGCCGCGTATACATATACAACTTTTTCACACATGTTGTGGAACTCCCCAGCTCCTGTAAAAGACTAAAATCTGTGGAATTCCCCTTTAAACAAAAGAGATGACAGAAGAAGACAGATACGTACAGCAGTGTTGCTCTTCTCAAAGATCTCGTGGGCCAGTAGCTTCAGGGGGCCACAGTAGACTCCAGACTTTGCAGTTAGGTATCGCTGGATGGCGTGGTAGGTTTTGCCACTGTTCGTTGGGCCCGCATGGAAAATCACTTTCCTCTGGATGGCACGAGCTTCAGGGTACCTAAAGACACAAGCACACATCCACACACAGATACTTTAATCACAAAATAATATTGTGCAAGCTATGACACAGGCATACCGATGGTGACTGAGAGGTATAAATCACTGTTAGTACCAGATTGTTGAGGTGTATAAACAGCACATACAATAAATGGCACTGACAGTCCTAGGGCTTGCTCTATAATATGATACATACCAGTTAGCAGGGACTCTGAGGTCTGAGATCTTTCTCAGGTCGTCCATACAGTCCAGCATAGGAAAGATTTGCTTGGCATGACGCAAAAAGTATGGGTAGATGTCATCTATATGACCTGGAGTACAACAGAAATTAATTAAAATAAAAAATAGAGTTAATTCAACGTTTACTTTAATTAATATTATCTCTTGACAGAGCATCTTCTTGGGGGGGGTAAATGAAAACAGACCTGCTCCATAGCGAATGTCACTAAGGACGATGTGCAGATCGGCGGGAAGTGCTGTCATCTCCAGGACATACTTCCTGAAGCTAATGAAGGCCTGGTGGAACAGACGAGCTGTATACACACACACACACACACACGAGACACATGAGGCTCAACATATAAAGCTGGTTAGATAGTAAATTAGTTAATTTAACTTTCTTTTGGCTTTAATTGCCTTTATTTGATAGGACAGCTGAAGACAGACAGGATAGGGTGGCAGAGAGAGAGTGAGGGGATGACACGCAGCAAAGGGCCACAGGTCGGATTCGAACCCTGGGCCGCTGCAGCAAGGACTCAGCCTCGGTACATGGGTCACCAGCTCTACCCACTGAGCCAACCGGGCGCCCAGTTCGTAGTAGCTTGCAGCCCATTTGCTTTACAATTAATCAATTACAATTAATTACAATCTATCATGTAAAGCATAAATGAAAAGGAAATTAGTGGTGAGTGCATAAAATATGGACAGATAAGGCGAATAAATAATATTTATAGGCATTGAAATGAGGTGTTTTTGGAAACAATGTATTGACAGCTGTGAAAGGATGTAAATAAACTTCTCACCATCCAGGCCACTATCTGCTGCCAGCATCTGCATCTCTTTCCTCTTATAAAACCGGTTCATAAGTTTCAGCAGTTCATCTGAATCACAGACACAAAGAGACATTAACATACAGACAGCAGGAGCATTAGTTAGCTATCACCTCGTTTTCTTTACACTTGAACTCAGGTGAATGTACTCACTTTTATCTAGCGGCTGGGTCAGCTCTGCTCCCACATCCCCATCCACCAAGGAGTCAGCCTTCAGAGAGACGGGGACGAACAGAGAGGTGTCCGGGGGTTTTGGAGAAGAGTTGTTAGATGAAACATTTCTGCTACAAACCACAGAACCAGCCTGGTGTTGTCTGTGTAACAAACTAGAGCCAGCAGACGCTTGACAGCCAGCGGCGGTGATGCGAGCAGTGCGGGGGCTAATGTGGCGTTGAAGCCGGGGTAACAAATACAAACACCGGTTTACCGACATCGCTGCGAGTCGTTTTTTATCCCGGCTGTGAGCTCCTTCAGTCGGCCACGTTCAAAAAAACTGTGCTACTGTCGCTCCATGTTGCTCAGCAGCTCTAAATATTTGAATTACACACAACCAACTTCACCAGAGGACGGTCAACACACTCACTCTCATGCTAACTCAACGTGGGGTAGGACCAGCCATTATTTAGCTGCCCACAGATGTGCCTGAGTTGACATTGAGCATAAACTGACTATTTAAAGCGCAATGATAGCTCCTCGTTTAAGTAAGATACAATTGTTCAGATTAATTAATATGACCGAAAAAGTATTTTGTTTTTAACATTGTCGTGCAGAAGGGGGAGAAATATCAACAAGGCAAAATATTGGACTCCTGTATGGTTGAATCCGCAGATCGTTTATAAAACATCATGATCTCCACGCCGTCAGAATAATGTCCCGCTTTCAGCGTCTTTCCGGACATTGCCTGCCTTAAATACCGACTAAAAACGATCTTTGAAGGACCCAGAGCAATGTGTTCACTTGTATTAACTCTTCAGAAAATACTTTCTGTTTGTGGTTTCCAAATATTTACAGGATGGGCCCATTTGTGTCGGGTAAATTATGTCAGTTAATAAAAACATCTCTACTATAATGTTTGTTTTGTTCCACACAGCCTGAATTATAGACATACTGACATCTTAACCCCGCCCCCAACAGAAACAGTTTGACAAGCCACCATTAAATTCATTAATTCATTTTATTAATTCTATATGTTTTATCTTACATATACTATGAGGACTTTTTCCACTCCTACATTAATATAATTCTGGTGAAGAAATGCTAAATCTTTGGCTGGAGAGTTGCACGACAGATTAAAAATCAAGGTGCTTTGGTAAATGCAGGAGAAGGAAGCAGTAGGAGAGAGTTTGGCCTAGATTATGAAAGTTTGAGTACTGTGTGCCACTGTTTCATCAACTGTCAAAAATATTTACAGTGTGGGAGTCAGACAATTAAAATCTCTCTGAAACCTCTCATAAACTTTCCACAGGTGGTCATCCTGAAGAAATTAAAGGCAGGATGAAGACAAACGTAAATGATGAGATGTATCTGTTAACTTTTAAGTTTTCTGACTGTACGGTGTATAATTATCTTTTCAAGAAAGAGTGTTGTTCAAAAGATATTCAGTATAAATTTGCTTTATTCACGATTCATTTTAGCTATATATTTGGGTTTGGTGTATATACACATTATCATACACACACACACACACACACACACACACATCGATGGCATGATTAGACATTGTGTAAAGATCAACATGCAGTAGATAAGACAGGGGCAGAGAGTTTTGGCATTTAAGTGTCTCTTCATTACCTTTGAAGGTATTTAAAGTACACCCAACAAACCCTACCTGTACAGTGTGCAGAGACAGAAAATATGTCTGACAGGCACAAAGAAAGAAGCCTTTACTTGCAAACAAATTACAATTCCCAAACAAAAGAAAGAGGTCAAAACTATTTTAAAGGAATAAATACATCTGAACTATACATGTGAGTGTCCAGAAGTTTATGAAATAAAACATGTAACAGCATGACTTGCATATGAAAGAGACATAAAGCAACAAAGTATTGTACTTAGTAAGTCCAATTAAAACAAGTAGTGATATATAAATGACAGTGTCATTTCCATTACAGACACAGGAGATCTCTGAGGTGAAGTTGTCCTTGAATGATGTTTAGTTTCAGCTTCCATGCCCCCTTTTAAAAAAAGTTAAGCATTGGAGGGGAAAGTGCAAAACTGGCCACAGATCAGAGCTTAAGGGCAAATTCAACCTACACACAAGGCCAGCAACATCACCAAACTGTCTGTGCGTGTGTCTTTAAAGCGGGACCTAAACTGCCGGTCTGAGCATCACAGTGGAACATTGTTGGATTTTACAGTGTATTGATACTGCATCCCTTCCAGTGCTTACAATAGCAGACATGAGCCATTTAATAACATTAGTATTCTACTCATACCAAACCGACCGGCTCAAAAAAAACGCAGCACCCTATGAAAGGAAAGTAAAACTGACAAGAACTGTGAAACTACAGCCTGCTGGTTATTTCATTTTTTTCTCTATTGAATCATTTAACATGTAAACAGAAACCGCTAGTGTAGTGATTGACAGAACGTTCACTCTCAGGTATAAGTAGCCGGACAACTTCCTTAACTTTCCACCTTTTTTTTTAAGCTTTGAATTTTAGAAATTGAAGAATTTCTTACATCAACTGAAGTCAGAGTCAGCAGACACCGACCCTGGCGCAGGAATTTAAAGGTTCAGTTCAACCAAATTACAAATGAACATATTTCCCATTTAGCCATACAGATTTATAGCATCCAAGTTTGGAGATATCTCTCTGGAATTTCGTCCTCCACTCCAGTAAAGTGGAGGTGAATGGAAATCCATTTGCGGTGCTCAAAGCGCTGAAATTTAACTCTTCTCTTCTTTTTGTAATTACGGTGAACCGACCATTAAATAGCTCTGGAAGACAAACAACAAAAAAGGTTTCTATTCTTAAAGATTAGTCATAAATAAATGGCACTTTAGAGATCAAACAAAGTGTCCCGTGCCAGAGAAACATCTTGACTTTAGAAAAACACAAGAAGGAATCTTTAGATACATTTAGAGGCAATCCTGTAGTAACCCGACAAAGCCCATCAGTGAAAACTGCATCAAATATTCATCTTAACAAGAGACTGAAATGTTGTATTGAGCTTGAGAATCTTTAACAAGCAGAGCATTTGAATGTATGATGCTTTAAGAGCTGCAACCATTAGCCGATTAACTGATTAATCAATCGTTTAGAAGACGTACTGGCAAATATTTGGATGATCGATTCATTGTTTTCAGTCATTATTTCAAGGAACTCTCTATAATAGACTAAACAATTAATTAATTAACTGAGAATCTGCAGTTTAACCGATAATGAAAATATTCATTAGTTGCAGTTTGAAAAAGATTGTTTGAAATACATGACACTGAAATGATAATGTCCACCTTAAATCAAAAACAGTTTGTATGAAATGAGACTGGAAACATGGAATATGTATGTCTGAGAGGAATATGTTTTCATTTTACAAAACAGCCACATTAGAAGATAAAAAATAGGAAGCATTTATGTTGAGATGGACATTTGTTGCATTAAACTCTTAATGTCCTAATTAAGCAGACATTTGCATGGAAAAAGCCGTCTGTGGACGACTGTTGCATCAGAAGTGCTAGACAGATGAACAAGAGCATCACGGTAGCTTAAACTCGGGTATTGTGAATAAACACAGAGACTGTGTGTTGACTCAGAGCTTAGCCTCTCACGTCCTCCGTTCAGGCCGATCCCCGCATCTTGAATACTTTCACATCACTGGCTAGACTCTGGAGAGCGTCATTTTAAAAAAGGGTGTGTGGGAGGGAGGATGCCACGGAAAGTCCAGGATAAGCGCGGTCCAAATATGCAAATAAAAGAAGCTCCTGTTGCAGAAGAATGGGATAAATTGTGTGGCGGTTGTCTGTAGCCATCTCCTCTTTTCCATCTGTGCTCCTGTATTATAATGCATTAAGCAAACCGAGACTGTATGGCTTCACTTGTGTGTGTGTGTGTGTGTGTGCGGTGTGTGTGTGTGAGTGTGTTTTCAGTCTGAGACGCAGAGATCAAAATAGGCTGTCTCACTGTTCCTTACTTGGGTTGGTTTGATTTGACATTTAGCATTCGGCCTTCTTGGATTGTATGCTTGTGCATCTGTATGCGAGCGTGTTTCAGTCCTGGGGGAGGTTGTGTGATGGTGGTGAGACCACTCACACCTGAAGCTGTGAAGGTGGGGCGAGGGTGGGGTGTCTAAAGGTATGTTGTGTGTATTTATGTATACAGACATTTCTCAGTCTCAGGAGATAGTGGGGCAGCGCTCACACCTCTGGCTGTTCAGCAGTGAAGAGTTGGGGTGTGTCTGTGTGTATTTTCAGTTCATAGCAGCGCCCGTTACATCTCTGGCTGTTCTGCATTAACTGGCTGGGTTCGGGGCTCGGGCGACTCGTAGCGCTGATGGAAGTTTCTTTTCCTCAGCTTCTCTGGAGCTTTTCTCCACAAAACAATCTCCTAAACACAGAGGCAGAGAGATGATTACTTAATTACAATTATTTAACAGATGTATACAAAAGTAGAGAAACCCTATAATAGGAAAACAGCAAAAAAAATCTATATGTGTACTAATAGTCTTAGCCTTATACTCTAACTGCAGGATGTAAATGTGTTAGTGAATGTGCGTCCACATACGAACAACAGAGCACTAGTAGTGGTCAAAAACTCCACAGGATACATTTAATGCACGATTGTTTACCATTAAAAAATAATTCAACATTTGCTTTGACAAACGAACTGTATCTTTTTGAAAACGCAGGACAACTCTGCTACAGCAGGCCTGCACGTGTGTGACAGCTTTGTAACAAAGAACCAACATACACAGATAAATAAACTATACAAAGCAGCCAGGGAGACAATGTACACCTGTGTAGTTAAGATGATATGCAGAAACACATTGTGCTCCGTTACCTGTTGTTTAAAGTATCTTCTGTCCTCTTCATCGACCAGGACCAGATTGAGGAAGTAGCGTACAGAGAACTTCTTGTTGACATCCCTCATGGTTGGTGTCAAGTCATATCCTGTAATGAACCAGAAGATGTGATAAGCTGTCACTCAACATATTACCAACAGAGAAGATGAGAGAAGAGAAGAGAAGAGAAGAGAAGAGAAGAGAAGAGAAGAGAAGTTACCTGCCAGGAACAGTCTGATGGGGATTGATTCTCCTTTAACTGGAGCTCCATCCATGATCTCATACTTTGCAACCGTCTCTGTCTCTGTGGTAGTGCTGGGACCTGGAAAGTAGGACAACAATTACATTGAGTGAGTGGGGTAGCGTTCAGTAAAGTGGAGCAGAGCTGACAGAAGTTTCTATGCTCTTACTGAGACCTAATCTGTTTAGAGAAAAGCAAACCAACTACAGCATCTCACAGCTAGAGAAACCACAAAGGTGATGAACTACAAAGTTAGCACAGTCATGCTGCTGGTTAAGTTTCTCTTAACGTTCATGTGTCTGATCTGTTCTGAGCTACACGTGGTTACCCAGTATTCTTACCTATGCCCGTTATCTCCTTCTTGATGAGCTGTAGCTCCATGTGTTGGATCTTGATCCTGACCAGCAGGAAGTAGATCTTCCCAACAATCACATCCTTAAGGTGGTATCTACAACAAAGAGACGCATAAAAAGAAGCTGCTCAAACTGATCTTATTTGGATTTGGGGTTTGCTGAAGAACAATTCAAGACTTCAACAAAAAAGTTAAAGTGATATTGATCTTACTTGGATTTATTGTACTCAAACTCAATATGCAGACAGTCTTCTATGCCGACCTCCATCTTGATTGAGTTGTTGACATCTGGGTAGGTGGCTAACTGGTGGACAATCAGCTCGTATTCCTTCACCAAGTCAGACAGACGACGAACTATTGTCACCCTGAGGAAATACCTGCAACAACAACACACAGACAACGCAAGCTTTCAGAGTCGGACTGAAACAATGCAGAAAATGCTGTAATCCCAACATATTTGCCCGTTCTGTCAATCTGTGACAACCATGTGAAATTTGTAGGAGAAAGAAAAATCCTTCACATGTGCACCATAAATTTGTCATTAGTCATCGTAAGTCAAACCCAAGACAAACATTTGTGAACCTGCAGCCAGCTAAATCTTTGAGATATTCACTTTAAAATGATTGATCAGTGCTTATATTTAATATATTTCCTGTGAATAAACCAATTCAATAATGAATCATGTCTGCACTACTGATACCAGTCCTATACCAGCAACATATTTATTGATCCCTTCAGGGATTTTTTTCCTCACTGTCGCCCTCCAGCAAGGTGTCAGCACAAGATGAGCTGGAAAAAAGCTTCCCTGCAGAGTGTTTGCTGCCAAGATTGAACTTGGACGCTACATGCTGAATGTTAGTTTTTAGATTTTATTTTCAAATCAACATTTATTTAGATTTTTATTTTGATGATGTTTTACATTTTATTTATACATTTGATTATTTATTTGCCGTGGCCAATTTTATCTATGGTTGTTCATTTTGTTTTTATGTGTCGTTTCAACTTGCTATGTGCTATGTGCTTTGGGCTGCATGTTTGTATGAAAGGTTCTAAATAAAGTTGAGTTGAGTTCACTGCCCATCAAAAACATCAAACAGGACTAAAATAATAAATGCTATAACAGAACTTGTAGTTTGCCTCATGTAGCCTCGAAACTGTGTAATTCATATACCTTAGCCTGACATTCGCTCCAGTATAGGACTCATAGGGCTTCTCCACCTGCATGAACTCAAAGTCGTAGCTCCTGTTCTGGGTGAGTTCTCCAGGCAGAGCCAACTCTTTCACCAAGTCCACAAACTCATGGGTGTTGCTCTTGTCAGAGAAGAGCTCTGAAATACAGCAGAATGGATTTAGAGTGGTTGGTGTATAATTGAAGACAGTTTAAAAACACACCACAAAATGTTTTATACATTGGTTTTATTTCAGCATGTCATGCTCTTTCAACACACTGCTCTCGTTACCCTCCTCCCTACAGCAAATACAGTTGGAGGAGGGCTTAGCTCCACTATGGCAGGCTGCACATGACGACCACATGCTCCGTTAAACCTTTTAGCCACATGAGAACGCCAACAGACCACTGCTGACTAGTAGTTTTCCAGCGATAAAGCCCAATGCACTCAATTAACATTTCATGGAGCTAGTTGCGTAAGGCAAATATATCCATCAGCACCATCCCACTAATATCAGAGCTCACCATAATCATAAATAACAATGAACTCTGCATACACTTTACACCTCTTGCAAAAGACCGGAAAACAGCGTGATAGCAGAGAGTAATAAATGCACCACTTTAATCATGCTCACCTATCTGTCCAACAAACTCGATGCGGATGCCCTGATGCTCCAGTCGCTTTCCTCCCTGCTTCACATTTAGATTCACCTTGAGAGGAAACATTTGATCAAGAGATCAAGTATCATATGAACCAAAAAGCATGTTGTCACAATGATAGTTTGACAATATTATCAATTTATACATATATATTTGACCTTGACAGAGAAAAACTAAGAGATCCTGTTTTTATAGATCACAAACAAGCATTCACTTTTGTTAGGTGTTGGTACACGTGCAGGTCCAAACAGGTTAAGCTCTTCTGTGATGGCAGAGGAAGCCAATCAGGCAAATATCGCAAGAATATGTGAATGTAATAACAACTAGACTCCAATATTACTTTATAAAGCAGATGTATCGGCTAATACATTCATGGATCCTAAACATAGATGCTTCACTCCCTCTCAAAGTCGGAGCAAATCTTGCACACACATCAAAAGAACCTTAATTTCCCATTGGGCTCAGTTAAAGAGAGCATCCCAAAATAGGCTGGTGGATGGCCGTGAAGTCCATTATCTGCTGACTGAGTACTGTTCACTAATAAATAAAATGACAGCGAGTTTAAAATCATGCTTCATGTGTGTACAACTTCCTTACTGAACCTTGCGGAGCTCGCAAACAACACTTTATAAATAACGTAAATTCCGGTTACCTTCCCAGACACAGACTCCCCATCGTAGAACAGGTAGTGTTTCTCCACTTTCCCATCTTCCGTCTTCAACTCGGCCGTCTTTCTGTTCTCTGCATCGTTCAGCAGTACATCTATCTCACAGACCGGCCCAAACAAACCGCCAAGGAAACTCTGAAAACACAAAGTACGTCATAAAAAACTGTGGATTACATATGGCAACAAACAGACGTTTGAGACGTCCTAAAGTCAACTTTTTCAAACGGTTGATTGAATAAATTCCACTTATCGGGAATCATATCACAATCTGTGAAAATAATCGCACTGTAACTTTTTTTTACCATATCGTGCAGCCCTACTACTAATTGACAAGTTACGAAACAAAACAAGATATCAGACAAAGAGTGGAAAATCCATGAGCGGTGGCTATCTGGATCTAAGAGACTGAAACACAATGTCAGTCAGATACCGATAAGATAACTGATAATTTCACATTTTGTTAACCTGTAGTTCATAAGTAGTAGTTTTCACACATTTTATGACAAGAAAGACCAACGTATAGTGAGCAAAGATGGATGATTTAATATTTCAAAGCTCTGTTCAAACCAAATCTAACTCACATCAGTATTGTTAGCAACAAATGAAAATGTTCCAACATACTTTGGCTTTTATAGAACATAAAGGCCATCAATCAAAATAAATCATTATCATTATGGACCGATCATTTATCGGCTGTAATTTCATTATCCCCATAATTCATAATAATATACCTTTCCTATTATGGTGCATCCCTAATACCTGTGTATACGTGTGTGCACATATGGGACAGTGTGCTGTGGACCCAATCACAGTCTGAAGCTGTCATCATGTAAATCCCCAACAGCTACTCCCTATCTTTATTTCTATACAGACTCAATCACTTATTATCACCGGCTGCACTCCCTCTGCATTGTTTCCCTCTGAGCTGGCACACAGTCACAAACACATGCTTCAGCATGAGGGAGCAGCACATCTGTAGAGATCAGCCAAATCATCAAGATGTCAGGAGAGACCAATCAATGCCTGGACAGGAGTGGGATTCTTCAATTCATCCTGTAAAAGGCTGCATGTTATAATAAAGGAGACTCCCAGTACACACACTAAACCCAGCAGCAGTGCATCACAGACAGTGGCTATCAACTTGCAATTGTGTCCTCGTCTAATAGACTGCATACACAATCAACCAGCATATGCTTACCACATTAAAATATTCAGCAATGAGATTTGAATAATTCAACATGCATGTGACACAGAGTACAACTTCACGTTACATCGCGATACCCAGCAACGTTAGCCAACAATAATATTCGTCCCCTTCAAGCTTTAGTAACCGAAAACATAAGCGAGCTACAAACCACTGGAACTAAATCATCTACAGTATCTTCATTAAGCAAAGCTCCTGGGCCGCTTCCCAAAACACCACAGAGAAATCAGAGACGGCCTCGTACTAAATACTAACCCGACCAACCCAGCTAGCTTTCCTGTCAGGTTCAAATGTTCAACAGCGGCTGTCAAGTGAACCCCCGTGATAATGCCGGGGTCTGTATGAATAAATGTCCCGGTTCCTTTCGGTGCAGCCCGAACAGCTGCTGCTTGTTTTTTTACACTCACCATCTCGGCCGTCTAGACAGTAGAAGCTAACAGCTAGCCTCGCTCCGTGTAGCCAGTCCGTCTGAACCAGGAGGTAGTATCAAGGCTCGGCGTCATGTGACCCGGGTCATGTGTGTGTGTGTGTGTGTGTGTGTGTGTGTGTGTGTGTGTGTGTGTGTGTGTGTGTGTGTGCGTGTGTGTGTGTGTGGGCAGGGGGCAGGGGGCAGGAGAAATGGGACATATTATAATATAACTTATGGGGAAAAAATTGAGTTTAGAGTTAATATTATTAAACCCAGGATTCTTTTTTTTTTGGAGCAAAATGTTTTGTTGATGATGACTGTTATGTTGATAGCCATTTCAATTAGAGCTTGACTGATACTGAATCCTTGAAAAACCTAATGAGCAACATTTTTGATAGGCATCCTTTGTGGTTATTATTTTATAAAATGTGACAAAAATATGTAGCGAGTGGGACATTTGACATTTTTAGAAAATGAAGCAGTGCTCTCTGGTGGACAAACTAATGACAACACTGCTTCCAGATTTTCTCAGACATATGTTTCTCTACTAAACATCCAGTATGCTGATACAATACGTGTCAGATAAGGTAATATTGGAATTATATTGTTCTGACTATTTGTTGGCTTTGACTTTAAATAGTGGCTCACCGTTTGGTCATGCTGTTAAAACAAAAACCCCTCAGAGCTTTCCACTAAATATCCTGTTGGCTTTGTGCTGCCGTTGTCCTAAAAGTGTTCATATGCAACTTTTTATAAAATCAGTAATAAGACAACATTTATCCCAATGTCTAATTATTTATGATTGCTTTATTACATACTCATCTACCTTAGAAAAGTAGATTTATAAAACATCAACTTTTTCTAGAAAATGACACAGCTATCCAAAGATAATCTCTTTATGTCTGAGTAAGTATACAAGTGAAGGCTGGAGCAGGAGAGGACAAACGGAAACTCACAAATTAAAATCCTGTTCATGCAAACCTGAGATTGGCACACTACCCGACTGACCGAGGAGAAGAAATAAACTGAAAACAGAAGTTTTGATCAAATATACTGAAAACACCACTGAATGTTGTTGTTATAAATCCTTTATTGATTGAAGTATTTCAAATGCAAAGTAGACAACGCAGAGCATGTTGAAATGCATGCATGTGCACATTACATATTTTGAATATGTTCCAGCTCACAGTGGTTAAGATTGCGTGAATCCATTCCTGAGGGATTTGGGTTTGCAAGATTTTCTCTTTTTAAATCTTGCAGACCAGAAGTTCCCAAAGTAGGTTGCATAGCCCTCCTGGGTAAGTGTAAAGTGTCACAACATTTGAGACAAAGGGATGAAATAATATAAATAAGTCTTCGTTTGGTGTGTTTTAAAGGAACACAAGCCTCACAGCTCCAAGTAAAATGATTTGAACTGCAGCTGCACAGAGTAAGCAATGCACTGACAAAGGTGTCATCTTATTGCACTGGTATTATAATTATAAGAAAGCATATTTGAGATTTTGTATTAAAAAGCACATTCCAACTTCCACATCTTTTCCACAAGATAGCACAAGTATGAGTTGAGGCCAACTTAAACTAAAGTGAGAGTATGTCTCATGTATGCAGACCATTCTTTTATTTTGGCAGCTACTTTTTCATTGATTGCAGTTGTTCTTTTGCCCCAGGGGAGAATAATTACCACCAATAACACTGCAAATATAAAATATATATTTGGCCTTTGTCAATCTCTGAGTGACCAGGTTTTTCCACCACCAGGTGGTGATGCAATATCTGTTTTACTATTTGAATAGACAGGGTGGAAATAAAATAGATGCCAGCCTTGTGTATGTGTGTGTGTCTGTTAGTGGGTGGGTGTACAGTCTACGGCTGCAGAAGGTGGTCTTCTCTCAGCTCCTGCTCTGCTGGTTTCTCCTCACCAACCAGAGACCTGCTAGGAAACAACCGCCTCATGAGCTTCATATCCCCACCTACAAGCAGAAAAACAAGGACAGATCAGACTATGGAGCAGGAAATAAAAAAAGGACCTATGCAAATCAATGCTGTTTCCTATAAAAATTACCTTTGCTTTCTTCCTCTGTCCAGGACTCGCCAGAGCCTGGCTCACTTTCAGCATTCACAAAGTAGGGCAAACGGTCCATTAATGTGTCTGCAGAGCCTTCATAATATCCAGAACCATCCTCAGGCTGAATAACATCTGGTGACTCCCCCTCATCACCAACATCACTCATCATGGGTGCGTCGTCCTCCTCCATCTCTTCCTCCTCTTCCTCATCCCTCATTGGACTCTCATCCTCCACAGGCTCTGCCTCTCTAGAAAGAATGAGAGTTTGTCTATGTTATGATTTTTTTTGATAAAATAATTTCAACAAACGACAAATTTATTTTTCCTTTTTACAAATCCAGAATCTGAGTATGCAAATATCTTTCAAGATGTCTTCTACTTCACTGTACAGTCTATTCTCAGTATAATTGTGCCGAGGGTTTCAAGTTTCCACATTACACACACACCACTGAAAGTTTGTAAGTTTCCCCTATCTACACGTCTTAAACTCACATTTAAGGTGAGCACAGAGAAAGGTTCTTCGTTCAGCAGATTAATTCTAAAAACAGTCTTATAATTTCAAACATTGCACATTAGAGCTGCAACAAGATTAACCGTCACTGGTTTCAGCTTCTAAGATGTGAGGTTTTATTACTTCTGTTGGTCATGTACAATGATGATGATTGTACAAGACATTTGAATATATTTCAGTGGGCTGTGGTAAATCGGATATTTCTGACATTTTATAGACCAAACAATTAATTTTGAAAACAATTTATAAATAACTTGATAATGAAAATAATTGTTATTAGTAGCCATACTGCATGTACTTCATTCTGCACCGTGATAGTAACAACAACCACAACTCATTCTTGACTTGTGGTGGCTTTAAGGGTCCAGAGTTGGGTGTTGCTTTGTTTACGTTTTTTCATGTCGAAGCTGGAGCTAAAGCTTACCCTAACCCTTTAAAAAAGGACAGAGGCATATTTACTGTTTTGGTTTTAATTCCAAATGAGTAGATATGGGTGTTGTATGTGTATGACAATCAAAATTAAGACCCATTAACAGCATTATCTTAGTTCAACTGAATTAACTTACTGAGTCATTAATCATATTCTGATTTCTATGAACTTCTATTTGAGGGCTGTTGAGTAAAAGTAAGAAATTAAAGTTTCCAGTTTAATTACTAGGTTATGGTATTCTTTTTACATGTAATTTTGTACTATTTAAACATGAATATCAGACTAGTGTGGCACATACGCAGACACAAAACAATAGACCAGAAGCAGCAGCCCACAAAGAGTCACAGCCACTTCCTCTAAACACTTCCCTCTGGCTTCCTGTTCAAGGCGAGCTGCAAAAGGAAGGGCTGCTGCTGAAGCCCTGGTTTAAGCAAGCTGAAATGATGTAGGAGGTCAGATGTCTAACAGCACAGACCTTCTATAGGAATAATTTACATTTATGAAACTATTCACTTTCATTCACTCTGTCTCCCACCTTCATTTCCACTTACTACCTTCTGACATGTACACTCATCTCTCTTTTCCTTTGTGTCTCCGCTCTGTAATCATTTACAGAATTACTTATAGAAGCTTCACAACCAAGTCATGTAATAGACCTTTTTTACAGCAACCATTTTTGACATGAAATAGTGAAACACAGGTGTTACCAATAATACTAATTAATGTTCCGTTCACTTTTAAAGTAACAGAGGCTTTCCAGTAAGCCAACATGCACAGTAACAGCACCCTGACTCTGTTTGGGCCTGAATGGAACGGAGCCTTAATTAGTATCATTGGTAACACCTGTGTCTACTATTTAATGTCAAAATAGCTGCTGTGAAAAAGGTCTATTTTTAACATATTTTATTGATAAGACCAGGTAAAATCACACGGTGGAAGAGGCTCAAGAAAATATCTGTCATCCACCCTTTCTATGCCTCTTTGTACACACCTGAGACAGAAAAAATGATTTCTAAAATGTGATATGAAGAAGCTGCTTTATGAATAATACTGACAGATAAAATTAAAATTTCAAAATAAATATTCTGTCAGTGTTTTTTTAAACAGTTATATGGGAGTTTCCATTGTTATATATGAGCACATATTAAACCCACTGAAAACACATAGTGGGATTTCAACAACATTGTAGAAGGACCGTAGCTAGTAAGAAAACATGATTTGTGGTATTCATTTTTGAAAGGTTTTAACTGATACGATCGATGTCAGTTAAGAGGAACTCTAAAAGAGGGAACTGGTGGCTAAGACTAAGAATGTAATACAGACTTTCTCAACAATTTCACACAACACACACACACACACACACACACACACACACACACACACACACACACACACACAGAAACTAGAAACTATTCAAAATATGGTTCACCCACAACTCTTTCTTGTGCTCGAAGGGTTGATGTTTTGGGTTCCTTTTCAGTAATTGAAACTGTGAAGAAGTTGGTCATGCGGAAACAAAAAACTGATGAACTTTTCACACCAAAGGCCAAGGGGGCATGCAGATTGGTACGTGTGTATGGATATTTAGTGTATGTGTATATTAAGACACACAACTTCTGAGTGAGAATGATATGGGGTAAAATGTAACAACCTGGATGTCAGGTTGACATTACTGCTCAGCCAATTGTTACAGAAATTGATAAAATAAACAAATATAATGTTGTGTTTATCAGCTGAGAGGCTTAAACTTAAAGAAATTGTTAATTTTTCCATTTATTGTAAGGCACCTGCATGGTAATAACTTGTTAACCTTTGTGAACATCCAGTGTTGAACTGTCAACAGTTGCGTAGCTTTGAAGGAGATATGAGCTCCACTGAACTGTCTACTGTACATGCTGTATTTGCACAGATTAGAAAGAAAAAAGAGCAGAAAATAGAATAGGAAACTCACACCAGAATTAAGACAATATGTTAGTTAATATGGTGATATTTATGACCAGAAATAAGTTTTCATTGTACTTTTGCTCTTCACAGCTTGTTTCATACAATACATTTATGTTTGTGTAAGTATAACATCAAAATTAACCACCACACACTGGAATGAACAACGCG